CCGCGAGTCCCGTGGTCTCACCGCCACCGGCAAGAAGTCCCGTGGTATCAACAAGGGTCACCGTTACAACAACACCAAGGCTGGTCGCCGCCACACCTGGAAGCGCCAGAACACCCAGAGCTACTGGCGTTACCGTTAAGTGCGGTAGTGCACTTTCTCAGTGGTTTCGGTTGGAAAATGTTGGTTACGGCGTGTGGTCATTTATTGAAACACTTCTTTCCCAGACAGTGTTATCCACGTTGGGTTCAACTTTAATGCAGACCGGCCGGTTCTGTTGTTAGCCAAAAAGCCATCTTGTTCTATTTTCAATTCCCCTATTAACGAAGTATGACTGGTTCAACTGCATGCCACTGGTATTGTAGAATGCGTAGACTTAGATGAGTGTTATTTCTTTTGCTCGTTCTATTGATGTATGTATACCTATCGTGAGATTTGGCTGGTTTTCCTCTCTTCCAAGGTTAGTACCATACTTGCGACCCGGCGGGCCAAACCGCCACTAGATAGTATATAGTGTGTCTTAGGGGATCGCTAGCAAGCGGTCTAGTGCAAAAATAGAGATTTATATACCTTGACTGGTTCTTTAACTAATTAACGATCATCGGGACACGAGTTGTTCCACAAAAATAGATCTGTTGCTTGCGATTTCAGGCGGATGATCCATAAATAGAAATTGGTGCCTGAGGCATGAACTACTCCTAACCCCGGCCAGTTTCCCAATCCGTCCACAGACTATGAAATGTTGTTGTAACGGTCCATCACTTTTCTATTGAAGTTCGAGGTGAGATATTTCTTTATTTTGTGAGACATGATTTGCTTACTGAACGTCCATCCCTGGAATAGACCAACCTGACCTGTCCTTTACCAAACAAAGAAGCACTGCCTTACCCCCCACTCCGTTGTCCACGATCTACTCGCATGTGTCTGGCACGAAGGACAAGCTCCACGAGCTGGATACCATACTGGAGAGGTTGAGTTTTGTTAAATCAAATCCAGTAAAATTCATGCGCATCTATGCCTTCCCGGTTTGAACGTCATCCGCCTATCCCTCCTGTCTCAAGCTCTGGCACTGCCGCCATCCCATTACACCCTTCCCAAATCCATGGTCGGGAAACCAGCCCACGCCGCCCAGCTCGGCCTCATGATGTTTCGATCGTGTCCCCAGCAAATGGCAGTATGCCCAGGAGCTCGCAAAATCGAGGACATTCACGCTCGATCAGCAATCCGTTCGCTGGGTTTGGGCGAAAACGGGACAAGACAGCCGCCAAGTATGCGACTTGGGACTCCGACGATGACGATGACGATGAGGTAACCTATCCCTTGGAGCCCGAGTCGTCAAGTCCCCGGAAAGGTGCAGCTGGAAATGATATCGCCGAGGGCAAGTGCCAGACTTGTGATGCTACTGTCCGATGGCCACGGCACTTAAAAGTGTTTAGATGCACCGACTGCTTGATGATCACAGACCTTGAGCCGATTTCTCATGAATCAAAAGACAACACTCCACAAGGGCCTCAGGGTGGGGCGTCCAGGTTGGCAAGCAAAGGTAACAGCACCAATGCTACTTTTGCTTTATAGATTTGTGAAATAAATGCTGATTTTTTCCCCCTACAGTGTTTCCTTTGACGGTTAATCAAACCCGTGGTATGATCGGAGGGTGTCTCAATGTGTATTTTGATAGCCTTTTGGAAATTGGTTCTCGGTCAGGGTTGTTGCCGGACGACGACAGAAAGAACAAACCGCTCCCTGATCTTCCACCAATGCAGACTCATGCCTCTGGTTCAAATCACCTCTCACCTCCGCGCACCGGGGGCCCTCGGAACCGCAGTGCTTCTCATTCTAGTGAACAGGAAAGGTTGGCGGCATCAAAAGAGAACTCAGTTTACTTGACACCGCAATCCGTTCGCTGGGAGGGCAACGACACGCCTGTCAGAGTCCGAGCAAATTCAGATCTCCGATCAACCCCAAAGCTAGACGGTCGCCCGCAAGGTGTTTCTCAAGCTGGGAGCCCTGGGCCTCAAATCTGCGACAATCGAACACCCATATTCAAACAGCTGGAAATTACCATCACCACTGCCTTCAAAGGCTGTGATTGCCTCAATGAATCTTTCACCACACACCCACCCCCTCAATCAGCTCGATCCGCCAGTAATGGCAATCCGCCGAGAATGAAGATGGAACCGACTACGATGCCCCAATCAGCGCATGCCACTCCTGTCTTTGAACCGGATGCCAAAACTCTTCTTTTAGGAGATTTGACTGAGAACTCTGCTTGGTGGATGAATGAATGGGCTGAGGCTGAAGGCCAAAATCCAGCGTATAACAAAGAGAAGAGCAACCAAAAGTCCCGGATGGTATCATCGCGAAGTCCTCGGATCAATTGGATCGAGGTATCCCAGTGGTATCATTTGATTCTGTCTGCGGGGAGTTCTTGGACTGATGTGTGGGCGGCCAAAAAGCCTGACCCCACACGATCAGAAGCGGATTCGATCCGAGCCAAGAGATGGGCGTCTATTGATCCGTCCTTGATCGGGAGACAAATCGGTGAATCTCGTTTACACTTACAACGGGCGCTGTTGAAAGCCACAGAGAGCCTCCTTAAGCGCCCGCGCCGTGTTTTGAAGAAGCCAGAAGATACCAGGTTCTTGTTTATATTGTTAGCGAATCCTATGTTGTCTTCACCTGCGTCATATTGCCAGCATACGCCGACCATGCCGTCTCATCGAGACGACAGACGCCCCTCGCATCCAAAAGACCATCCGAAGTTGGTAATTCGAAACGGAAAACTCTCACACAAAGACTTGCCCAAAGCCTCTGCTCGTCTAGAGGGTTCTAGTCATCACTATGGAATTCTGAAACGAATTCTCGGACTCATGTCCAACTTGCCCAATGACTGCCATCACTATCTCGTGTCTTGGGCTTCCCGTTTCTCTGTCAGACATCTCGAGCGACTGGTAGAACTTATCGGTGGATTTATCACTTACCGGTTGAGTCGTCAGCATGGGCGAAAACGTCCTCAGAACCCTCAAGATGGAGATGATCTAATACCAAGCTTCGCCAGTGCTTCTGGAAACACCGCTGCGGAACTGCACGCTGCTATTAATCGAAGTAGCACGAACAAGAAGTCTGGCAAAACAAGTGAAGACCCCATGGTATACACTGAGGACTGGCAGATCAGAGCGGCGGCAAGAGTAATGTCGCTTTTCTTTACGGCTAACGTCTCCACTGCAACGAGAAAATATGATGGAACTCCGCGCAGTCTTGAAATGCCCAAGAACCCAGGCCCTCGTCAAGGACATATGATTCCGATCAGTACATTTTACAACACGTTGCTGGACTATTCGGATCTAGTGACGGACTTCGAGACTTGGGAAGCTAAAGCCACGAAGTTTTCGTTCTGTCAGTATCCGTTCCTCCTTAGCATCTGGGCCAAAATTCATATCATGGAACATGATGCACGACGCCAAATGGAAGTGAAAGCACGCGATGCATTCTTCAACAGCGTCCTAAACCACATGGCGGTTAGTCAGTACCTTGTGTTGAAGGTACGGCGCGAGTGTTTGATTGAAGACAGCCTTAAGGGGGTGAGTGAAGTTGTTGGTACTGGCCAAGAAGAAATCAAAAAGGGTCTCCGAATTGAATTTTCGGGCGAAGAAGGCATTGATGCTGGTGGCCTGCGGAAGGAATGGTTCCTTCTGCTCGTTCGAGAGGTCTTTGACCCGCTTCATGGTAAGCATTTTCTGATTTCAAGACTTAGATGACCGGCTAATCCAAAATAGGCCTCTTCATCTACGATGATGATTCGCAGTACTGCTACTTCAATCCTTATTGCTTTGAGTCATCTGAACAATTCTTTTTGGTTGGGGTTCTTCTAGGTCTCGCCATTTACAACTCCACCATTCTTGATGTTGATCTCCCGCCATTTGCGTTCAAGAAATTACTGTCCTCAGCGCCGCATGCCAGCGGGCCACAAACGGCTACCTCCTTGCGTTCGACCTTCAAATGCACTCTAGAAGATCTCGCCGAATACAGGCCAGCTCTCGCCAAAGGACTCCGGGGTCTACTAGAATTTGAAGGCAATGTTGCCGAAACATTCTGCTATGATTTTGTTGCCCAGGTCGATCGCTACGGCGAGATCATTAGTGTGCCACTCTGTGCAAATGGCGAGAACCGGCCGGTGACCAACTCCAACAAGCGTGAGTTTGTGGATTTATATGTCAAATATTTGCTAGATACAGCCGTGGCTCGACAATTCGAACCTTTCAAACGCGGATTCTTCACGGTTTGCGGTGGCAATGCACTGTCACTATTCCGACCAGAAGAGATCGAAATGCTAGTCCGCGGCTCAGATGAACCACTCGATGTCAGTTCTCTCCAGGCCGTGGCAACCTACGACAACTGGTCACACCCACAACCAGAGTCGGTCCCCGTGGTGCGATGGTTCTGGGAATTCTTCGAGAAATCGCAACCTCAAGCGCAGCGCAAGATCTTGTCATTCATTACTGGAAGCGATCGGATCCCAGCCATGGGCGCTGCAAGCCTTATCATCCGACTTGCTTGCCTGGGAGATGACTGTCGCCGTTACCCAATTGCGCGTACATGTTTCAACACGCTGGGCCTTCACCGCTATTCCACACGGGAGAAGCTCCAGCAGCTGCTCTGGGATGCAGTTGTAAATAGCGAAGGATTTGGCTTGAAATGATTTGTTTACTACTGCTCAGAATTGGTGTTGTGGTGTTTTTTTTTATAGACGCTGGACGTTGACTTTGGAATGGGTTTCTTTCTTTTGCTTTTCATCCTATCATGGTTTGCTGGTGCTGTCAGTTTTCCTTTCATGGACTGCACATGAGTCTTGTTTATCAATTCGTCTTGATGACCGAGGTAGGCGTTTTCACATCTGCCTTCTTGGACGTTGTTTTTTATTCTAGCCCTTTGCTACTCTGCTAAGAATACAGTACACTTGACAATACACCAAGCTTCATACATCCCTCACTCACCCCCTCCCTTCAAGCCAACAACTCTCCAGCCTTCCACAATAGGAAAAAAGAACTCAAATTCCCCCACCACCACACCAACCCCCTGACCTGACTCCACGTAGGATGATCCACCAAAATATAAACAGCGCCATAGACAATTCGCGCAATAGTATACGATAACGCCGCGGCATTGATCTTCTTCGCAGGGACACCGGCCATCGATGCAAAGAGCACCCCGGCAACCAGCAACGGGAAATTCTCCACCGCATTAGCATGCGCCGACTCATTACGCTTGAGCATGTCAAGCTGCCTACGCGTGATCTTGCCTTCGTGCACAGCAACCTCGCCGTATTTGGCCAGGTCTTCACGTGGCGAGACTTGGTGGTCGAGGCCGTACCATTGTTTTAGGGTGCGTGAGGAGAGGACGCCGTAGGCGAGGATGAAGTTAGATGTTAGGAACAGGGGGCCGTAGTTTGTGGATTTGAAGTCAAGGGAGGTGCGCAGGCCTAGGGTTGTCAGGAGAGATGTCATTTTGGTGGATTGGAGTTCTGTCTACGTAGCCTTGGAGGGATTGGGGGTCGGCCATTAATATAGTTAATTTAGGCAATGGAACTAAAATCTCACCGCATGTCTCCGATGTCATTGGCCCTTACGTTCTGATGCTTACTTCTTGTTTCCCCTAAAATTAGAAACATTCACAACTTAAAAAGCCCACGGTTATGCTCATTTTGAAATCCGGTAAAATGATGATGGGATGGTTTGGCCGAAGGCCTATATACAGTGTTCTTTTACTCTATGTATCTTCTCTATATACCATCCAAGTCATGTAATTACAAGCCAAAGCGCAAGATGAAAGAAACACCTAACGGTACAGGATACCGTTAACCATCTCACCAATCGCCAAGCAACTTGTCAAGCCCGGGCTCTCAATCCCCAACAAATTGACAAACCCAGGTAGACCCTCTTCCTCCCGGACAATAAAGTCCTGGAACCCTTTACCTTCATTGACAGCCCCGCCCCTCCCCAATTTAGGGCGAATACCGCAGTAATCCAACGCGATGGCATCGACATCAACACCAGGCAGGTATGCCTTGATCTCCGGCAACGCCTGCTCCAAACGTGCAGCACTCGGCACCAAATCATCAGGACTATCCACCCACTCAACATCCGGCCCAAAGCGAACACGTCCACCCATATCAAGCGTCAGATGCGTACCAAGCCCACCAGTACCAGGCAAAGTCGCCGGATAAACCAGAACAGAAGTCCTAGGCCTAGACGCCGCATACGAGAAGTACGTGCCCTTAGCATAATGGGGAACAAAATGGCGCTCCTGCGGGAGGAGCATGTTACTGATAGCGCAAGCGCCATGACCAGCGCTATTAACCAGCGTTTCAGCGGTAATAGTAGTAACCGAGCCATCTTCATCCGAGACAGCGGTAATTTTATATCCACCGCGGCCGCCGTCAATAGCCTCGACGTCTGTAACGCGCGTCTTAAACGCAATATCGCCGCCGCGGTCCTCGAAGTCTCCCTGTAGATAAGTCATCAGCGAGTGGCTATCCACGATGCCGGATGTCTCGCTTTCAACAATGCCTGCGTCTGCCTTGACGTCTGGTTCGCGCTGCTGCGCTTCATCACGCCCGACTAGCCGTGTCGGTGCGTCGCCTAGTCCTTGGGCGTGCGCGTGTATTTTCAGACAAGCTTCCCATTGTGTTGGGGTTTGCGCCACAATCCATTTCTTCGTGTTGCGGTGGGGGATGTTGTTTTGCGCGCAAAGGTCGTAGAGGAGGTTGCGGCCGCGGATGCAGAGCTGGGTTTTAAGGGAGTTTGCTGGGTAATAGAGGCCTGCGTGGATTACCTGGTTGGTAAAAATGTGTTGTTAGTTTGTTTGGGTTGGTGGGCTTATCGTATAGCATGCGTACCTCGGAGTTGCGACTACTCGTCTCTGTTCCTGGTGCGTCATGTCGCTCTAGTAGAATGGTTGAGGTGCCTTCGCGAGCTGCAAGTTGTCGTGCGGTCGCGAGACCGACGACGCCTGCTCCAATTACCTTTTATCCAGATTAGCTTAGGTCTGTCTTGGATCTCGGGTGCACTGTACCGCATGGGTGAAGTCCGCATTGGTGGGTCTGGTGCTGGAAAAGCCGCGAGTAGGAAGCTTATTTTTAAGCTTAAAATGCTGCTTAATCAGAGCACGTGCAGACATATCGGGAAGGCGCAGTTGACCAGCAAGCTGCGAGGAAGGGTTGGTAATTCGGAAGGAACCCCGCGACCTCGAGAATAACCTCGGGAAATGGCGCGATGCCGAGTCCGGAGAACGCCAAGAAGATATAGATTGAACTCAAAAGTATACAACCTATCGAACTATAAAAGCGATAGAGAATATAAAAATATACAAGTATACAATGTCATCTTTCATCATTTGACATCTATCATTAGGAGAAGAGAAGCAAGGCGGGGCTAGTCTCTAGTTATATATTGACAAAGGAGCAAAGGGGAATCTCAAAATGCTCGAGTCTTTGTTAAAAACAATTACCTTCACTTTCTTTCATGTCTATATCCGACAACATGGACCGGAGTACATATTTAACTGACCATGCATCCCATAAATTAACCTCACCATCGCACAGTGACCCCATCTCGAGCTATTCATCACAATTACCTTAGGTTCATACATTCATATCAACTCAACTATCTAACCCACACTTCCCACCTCAGCCAATATGCCACAACCAGGTATGTTCTCTCGTGCCGATGGCAGCAACATCGCCGAGATCGACACAGAGGACTTCGTCCACTGGGTGACGGTAGATTTCACCAAGTTCGGCGGACGAACTGCGCCTAACAGCGGCGAGAGAATGATGCGTCTTATGGCCGAGCAGTGCCGATCCGGAGTAGCCACTATTACACCTTTCCCCCAGCATCACAACCAGAAATGCTGTCTCTCGTTGCCAGTTGTAGGAGACCCCGAGCTCGTACATGTTCATATTCTGTGGCGAGCAGCTGAGATTGCTGATTGGCATTGGGAGGAGATCGTGGCTGGTAGGGAGACCATTGATACTAAGCGCATTCTGGGTGATGCTCCATGGTGGTCTCGTGTTCAAGTGAATGGAGCCTAGTATGTACATACATGTATGTACCTAGTCGATCGATTATAGAATTAGAATCTGACTGAAAATGATGCGGTCAATTCAGTTGTTTTATTATCATTTTCAAACCCATAAAGACCGCATAGTATGATAACATGTAGAATGTAAGAAGGGTGGTTTATCTTCAGGCAGGCTTCAACCGATCCCCGGGGGCTATATAATGTTGAATGAAGATGGAAACATGCCGCACTTGCTCCATGACTCCGGCTGCGAGTCCTCCTACCTTAAAATTTATCAATATAATCATATCGAGTAAATAAAAAAGAAGAAGGAAGAAGAGAGCCAAAGAAAACCAAACCATAATAGACTTTCTTTTTTTTGCCAATCCCAGTTGACACAATATCACTCGACATCCATAAGAACATCACTCATTATGTATAAAATATAAGAGAATTGCTTGACACTCCACTTCCCAGAGTCCTTGAGGAGAGAAGCATAATCAAGAAGGATTCGACGCGCAGACTGATACCCACCATGGAGCGGCAGTGCTCGCAAGTAGATATTAGCGCCATTTCGAATGAAGTTAACAGCATGATCATCCGTCGGCGCAAAAGTTTGACTTCCCCTAGGCTCCATGAAACTCGTAAACCCCTCCGTCCCCACCGATCTCCAGTTAACATCATCCATCAACTCCACGGACCCGAGACTAGACGACGAACTCGCGGAGTCCGACACCATGAACGTATACAAACCGAGCACTAACCCGGCCGAGAAAAGCGAAAACATAGATTGGAACGTGGGGTGGTCGGAAGCTTTTCGATTTGCCATAACATTGTAGATATGCGCGGCGTGTAGACACGCGCGTCTGGCTGCAGGTGTTTGCGACCACTCGCGGAGATCGTCGAAGGCCTTACGTGCAGGAGCGGGGCCTGCACGGCCAGCTGCAAGATCGAATATTTGAATATCGGCCGTGAGAGTCATACACATGTTGTGCCATGTAACAAGGGCATTGGGATTTAAGCGGTCGAGAGTTTCGCCGTAGTTTGTGATGAGCTGGGATTGGAGGGAGGGGAGGCATCTAGCTCGGCCGTCCATGGCGTAGGTGTGACATGGAGCAAAGGGGTAGCTGGCTCTATTGGAGAGGAGACGGTGGTATGATTCTGACTGGCGGAGTTGAACTACTGCTAGCACTGCTTGTATACAGAACTCATCTGCTGGAGCTTCTAGGGTGGGGACGTTGATGTTTTCAGATGGGGCGAGAATTGTTGATGAGAGGATGTGCTTGCCGCCGCGGATTAGGTGTGCCCATTGGGCGGAGGAGTGGGCGCAGAAAAGAGATTCGCTGCAGGGGAGGATGAGTTGGATCGAGTCTGGGACTGCGATTGGACCTATCGAGAGGAATGAGGAGTACCAAGAGTCTAGCAGCAGTAGTCCGATGATTATTCTTGAGAGTATCAGTGATGTGTTCACGACGTATGATCAAGAATTGTGGCATACCTCTTAGTTGATTCAACCTTGCTCCAGGATTTCCATCTCATGTCAATATCGGGAACTGTTTCGAACAAAGTTATGTCAAGGATCTGCCCCTCACTGGCTGAAAATAGCCCATGTCTTTGGGCGAGCTGCAGTAGTTCTTATTAGAGCCACAACGGAAGAGGAAAACAAGAGAGTTCTCTTTAAACTCACAGACATGACATTGATATAAAGCGGTTGACACTGTTCCAGATGTAACTTTTCCTGTAGAATGACATTGATTAGTACTTAAAATCTAGTAGACTCGGCCGGAGGGATTCATACCCCGGTTAACCCAGCCAGGTTTAATAAAAGCAAAGCTGTCGCAAATAATGTCACAGTGCCGGAAGTGTTCTCAAGTCCTATTGAGCATCGAGCAAATTCAGCTGTTACCTTGTCCAAAGCACCCTCATGACTGTCAGTAGGCTACCTGCATATATGACACGCTTAACAGTATTTGACCTACAGAAAAATTTCTGGATACAAACGCAGTTGTTCCTTTCGTGCCAAGCAATGTCATGCCAACCAGCGTCATAACATATAGAAGAGATGGTCGCGCCTTCTTTGCCGAAAAGGTCGGCTGATGCACAAATGGCAAGAGAGGATTAAAGAGGCGGAAAAATAAGTCCAGTGCCATATCCAAGATCTCAGCGGGAGGGAAATCAGAATCAGGATGATTCAAGGTCGAGGCAGGCGTGGCTGGGTGAACACTCCTATTTATGGTATTTATGGGAGATTGCATATTTGCAGAAACATTCAGGGATCCAAAAGCTGCCTGCAAACGCCGTCTGCAATCCTCGTCGAATCCACATCGCGATCCTTGAACGACACTTGGCTCGCTGGGAAGGTGTGTTGACTGAACGGAGAAGATATTATCAACAGGTAACATGGAGATATCCCGCCATAAACCATTGATAAGTCGCCCAGTGTTAGGTGGTGCTAACCAACACTGTTGGACTCTAGCGAAGCGTTCATTGGGAATTTTATCGCTGCCGTCGACTGAATGTTGATTCTGCCGGTCTGGAGCAAGAATCGAATTGTCACTCATCAGAGGCAAATGGCTATCACGCATCAGATCTATCGATCCATTTGACCCTGAATCTGTGCGAGGTTCAAGCCACATTTGTAGCATGTCTTTTGACCCGGAGTCGAACGTCAAGCCAGCTCGGTGTGACATTTGTTCTGTTGGCGTGACTGCATTCCATCCAAAGTACTGCTGCTGGTCGTCAATAGTCATCACGCCGAGGTCTGACTCGGTGCGGCCATGGTGGACTGAGATATCAGCTAGATAATCTAGTGACGATGGGAGCCCGGCTGATGCGAGAGACGCATCTCGCGAAGTGGTGGATATAGGTGGAATCTGCGATTCTGTGCTGATAAACCCATTTCCTGGCCTGGGCATCAATGGTGATGCACCCGTATTTACTGACGACTGTCGATTTGGCGCTTCCGATGGGCCGGCTGTCGCGTTGGTTTGATTATGGCCCTTGGCATGTCGACTCAAGACATCGCTGTATACTCATTCAACTTAGGAATTCGAACATATGATTTTGAATATTGTTACAATTCACATGCGCTTTCAACGGAATTTACCTTCGAGAGAAACGCTTGTGGCAGACATTGCATTCATATGGGCGTTCTTTGGTATCTGTTTTGCATGTTAGGTTGCTGTTCTTGTAGGGGTTCGACATGACTGACGCGACCGCTCATGTCTCTTATAATGCTCGGTTTTTTTAAACACCCGCGAACAGATTGGACATTTTTTAAGCACCATCACGGCGCTCTTAAAAAGATGAATGATTACGGTACATGTGACCCTCGAGACTTCCAAAGTTGCCCCGGAAAAGCCCTGGAGGGGAAAACACATTAGTCAGCAATCCGGGGTCGACTGCGGGAATGTTAATACCTTAGAAAGCTGGCACATGCAGTGTGTGCCTTGGGGGAAAGGTATTACCCGTCCGGTAGCATTGATCTTCAACTGATTGATCTCTTCGACCATTCGAAAGTCCGTATCCACCGTAATCTTCCCATCATCGCCATGATACCTTCTGGCCCGCCGACTTATATGTCATGTGTAGTCAACAAGGACTCGCCCCAGCCGTGACCTTGGTTTGCGAATAAATATCTTTTTCTTCGCTGACTCCGGGTTGCTTGAAGTCTCAACATATCTCCTCGAACTCGTTCCAAACACGCGAGCAATGGCAGTGCGGAGCAGTATATGTAATGTTGGAAGACGAGCGCATAAGACTCCGACGGAGGGCTTGCTCAACGCTGGACCAGATGAAGACGTCGTCCATGATCCAGGTGACAAATAATGGAAATAACTAAATAAACAGGCCAGAAAGCTTGCTAGACTGTTCTTAAAGATCAATTGGAGGGAAAGAATGTAATTTGCATTCATCGCCTAAAACACGAGAGGCCTTCTATTCCCTCGTATGGCGAAAATTGTCAGTAAATGAGGCAATCCCCGTATTGTAACAGAATCACAATTTGGAGACAACATCAAAGGCAGCCATAATTACCCAATCATCTGCAGCCATTTGCACAGCCTGTATAGGAAAGCCGGTAGTTACCGTTGCAAGGAGTTTGTGATCACAGTGGCATTGTTCCGTGTGCCGTAATCGGCGGATAGATCCGCCCCGGGTGGAGGCTCCCCGAACGGGCTGAGTGGCATATGTTGTATAGAGAATTTGAGGCTCACATCTGACACAAGACAATATTGCATGAGTGACTGGTCAGTAATTACACCCCCAGCCCACCTGGAAGAAAATATCAAAGAGAAAGATACCTAAAAAGAATATCTAAGAATACTACTCCGAAAAAGAGGGCTAAAAAGTCTACATATGGCCGCATAAGCGGTCGATTACTCCTGTAGAGACAAATGTATGGAGTTTTGGTCTGGGAGAATAGTATATAATCTAATCGGTGCAGGTAGGACAGCGGGCTCAACAATTTAATCCCTACGACTCTCGGTAATCTTTTCAAGGATTTCAAAATTCAAAAAACCAAGAATGGCCCCCAGCACAATATCAACTCGGGGCTCCACTTCCCGTCTATGCTCGCCCCCCGATGGGGCCTCGCCAAATGATATCAACCTATTACATTGCCCCCTAATCCTCCCTGACAAGGATTCCGATCTAATTCAAACACCGGACAACGATAGTATTGCTGCCCTAGTCAAGGCTAAAATATATGGAGACAACCCCTGAGTTCGGATTACTGGTCGAGTCCGATGTCTTCCGTCCTAGGTGGAGAATGGGAATACTTAAAAAGAAACAGACAGGGAAAAGCAAAGAAATAAACGATCAACTGTTGAAAAAACACCCATCATGCCCTCCAATGAATCCCTTTACAATGAGACTATCAATATCGACCCCAGTCAATATGCATTCAAGCAGCGCCAGCTCCGAGTTATCTGTATAGGGGCGGGGTTCTCTGGCCTGATCCTCGCTCATAAATTGAAACACGAGCAGCCACTTGATTTCGTGGATTTCACTATCTACGAGAAGAATTCCGAAGTGGGAGGTTCATGGCTCGAGAATGTCTATCCCGGCGTTGGATGCGATGTTCCTGCCCACAGCTATGTCTTTCCATTCGAGCCCAATCCGAACTGGTCCAAATGCTATGCTGGCGGTGCCGAGATTGAGCAATACATTGTCGACACGGTAGAGAAGTACGGATTGAAAGGTCCGATCGTGTTTGATACCAAGCTTGTCAAGTCCATTTGGAATGAGGAGCGAGGCAAATGGGCGCTCGAGCTCAGACAGAATGACAAGATTATCTATGATGAAGCGGATATTTTCATAAATGGCTCTGGTATTCTCAACCGGTGGAATATGCCGAACATTGCCGGTTTGGACCAGTTCGCTGGCAAGCTTGTTCACACCGCTGGTTGGGACAAAACATACGACTGGACTGACAAGAAGGTCGCGGTCATTGGCAATGGCTCATCCGGTCTTCAGGTTGTTCCTGCACTCCAGCCCAAGGCTGCAAGGATTGTCAATTACATTCGTCAACCGACCTGGGTATCGGTCAATCTCTGTCCAGACATCACGAAGGATGGAATGGGAACGAACTTTGAATATACCGAGGGAGAGAAAGTGAAGTTCCGAGACGACCCACAAGCATTCCTGGAGCATAGAAAAAGGATTGACTGCTCGTAGGTTTCTTGCTGTTTTTTTTTTTTTTTTTTTTTTGAATCAGACTAATTCTGGAAAGTGTCAACACCGTCTATCGACTAATGTTATCTGGCTCAGAGCATAACCAAATGCTCTTCGATGCAATTTCAGGGCTTATGCGCCAGCGTCTCAGTCAGAATCCTCATCTGATTGACAAACTTATCCCGAAGTACGAAATTGGATGTCGCAGACTGAGCCCTGGTGATGGATATCTTGAAGCGATGCAGCAACCAAATGCTGAATGGTGCTTCGAGGGAATTGAGGAGATCACCAAGACAGGCATTCGCACGGCAGCAGGCGAAGAAGAGTTTGACTTGATTGTCTGTGCGACTGGATTTGATACCACCTTCATTCCCGGATGGGAGCTGGTGGCTCGAGAAGGCCGACGGCTTGATGTAGAGTGGAAGAAGACACCCGAGGCATACTTCTCTATCTGTGCCGGTGGCGTACCAAACTACTTCATATTCAATGGGCCTAATTGCCCCATTGGTCATGGCAGTGTGCCACAGATGATCGGCTGGACTGCTGATTACATTCTGAAATGGATGAAGAAGATGGCTCGGGAGGATATCAAGTGTGTATTTTGTGAGATGAGATATATGGGCTCCCCAACTGACATACGAGCAGGTCTGTCACAGTAAAGGATTCCGCTGTTTGGAACTACAACCGTCGTGCGCAAGCGGGTCTCAAACGTACTGTTTGGAACAAGGGCTGTCATGCTTGGTATAACAACGGGCAAACTGTTACGGCGATGTACCCAGGTAGTGTGTTACATTATAAAGGCAAGTTTGACAATTGGCAGAGTAGAGTTCTGTCATGGTAATATACTAACTTGACAACAGAGGCTATTGAGGATATTCGGGGTGAGGACTTTGATATCAGGCACAACAACAGCTCGGATCCGTTTTCGTATCTTGGAAATGGAGAACTAGAGTGGGAGAGAGAAGACGGTGCGGATTTGGCATACTATTTGAAATAGATTAGATATAGAATGGCCGCATTGATCATTTGATGGAGGTCTGTTTGAATAATCCGAGTCAATACCGCTTTGCTCTTGTAACATGATATTAACATAGCCTTGTACAGATGGTATAATTAAGTCTATCTCGCTATCTAACATGAAAGAAAAGCAAATTGGTATATTGCAGACATGCCTATATAGTATCGTATTCAGATTCTGGAATGCTTGTATTTGCAACGAAAGAATAGAGATCCTCGTCCCCATCCGACGGAAGCTGTCCGCTCAGCATGAGCATCCAGCCCAACCCAGATTCCAGCTGGACGTCACGAGTCTCAGGCTGTGTGCTTGAAAGCCTTCCATTATTTGGGACTATAGAGTCAGATCCATCAAGTGTCCGTGATCGCTTTCTTGGGGGGTAAACAGCCCCATCCGGTCCGCGGTCCGGTTTAGTAGCACGAGTACGAATCTCCCATTTGTGTTGTAGTCTTACCAGAAGGTCTTTAGCACGATTGGCACTCTGCCAGGATAGAGAGAACTCATCGAGGGCTCTGAAACAGGTACTCAAATGAGCGATGATATTCACTTTTTCTTCGGTTTGGTACTGGGAAACGGCGGCAAAGAGAAGTAGGAGTACGGCGGACGAGGTAATTGAGACTGCTTTGATGTTTATCCGGCGGAGGGTATATCTGGTCTCGTACAATACAAGGATTTTGGCAATGGAGATTGCGGAATTAATGCACATCTCTCGAGCGTGGGTGAAGCCGGGACCCTTCGGGGGTTGTGGTTGTATGTAGCCTTTTGACATCCAGGGTCGATGGCTGTAGATGAGATTCTGGTAATATTGCATGCTTTGGGATGAGTTAGCAAATACATTGAGAACGTGGAAGGGAAGTATAATAGCAACTCACTGAAGTAGCAACACATGTGGAAGATAAGGAGAGGTATGATCGTTGAGGTTGATTTGTAAAAATGAGGGCAACCGAGCCTTCCAACTCAGAAGCTTGGCAACATTGTCCTCATTGAGCTGCTGAAGCGCAGCTCTTGGAATACCTGATGTTCCATACCTTTTTTTTGGAGCGAAGGTTAGCAGAAGGAACTCATTTGAGTCCAACAAATGCCGATGAGAGACAACAAATGAGAATGGAACTTACAGAAAGTAGCCGAAGGGTGCCATAATCTCACATAGGGTGACTTCCTGTTGACTAACGGCCCCAATACAGTCAGATAATTCCGACTTATTGTCAAATGGAATGGGAGATGCGTAAGGTGTCCATTTGCAAGGCTCTCGATGGTCAACATCATTGTTTGGTTTTTTGACCGTAACATCCTCCATGTTGGTATAGAAAGGTCTACCAAGGTAGAAACCGACAAGACTGGAATTTCGACAGATTAGAAATATTCCGATCGCATACAAAGATAATGCGGGAACTCACTGATCCACCATGTACGCGGCCCAAAAGACGGTTCGACGCAACTCAGCGTCGGCAGCGGTAACAGACCCACGAGCAACATAGGGAGAAAGGTCAATATGCAGGGCAAGATCAAAGGCAAGTCGAAGAGCCATCCCTGGAATTGTAAGATAAAGCAAACTAGGAGCTTTCAACAATACTTACCACTATAGAGCCATCCACGTGTGTCTGAGCCAATACCAATTTCATGGCTGCTTAATATGACTAGTGCTTGGACTGTTGCCACACTGGGGGAATCTAGTTCAATTTCAAGAATTTCCTTTGCACGGTCTCCGAAGAATTCACCGAGAGATTTCGGGAATGTCACAAAGGATGGGTGGTAACGGGTTTCAAAAACAGCGCCGAGAGAGCACCTATTTGAAAATGTTATTTGATATGTCCAATTGGTCACATTCAAATCAACTCACATTGCATAGCAGAGTGCCTCGGAATAAAATGGTGTCTCTTCTTTTCCATCCCAGCCTGTCTTTCCTTTCTCGAACATTTCTCGGTCAACGACGTGGAACGATGGATCCTGCCAGGTAAAATAGAGATTAAGAAGATGCTCTTCGAGAGATAATGGAACTTGTCTGTCACAGTCTGCGTCGATATGATAATCAACGGTACGGTATGTCTGGGTGCTGATAGATACTGGAGCATCGGCAAGGTTGAAAGTCGATGTCGGGCCATAGAAGCGGGCTCGTCCTCCAGGGTCAAAGCGCAATGTGCCCATCCGATCAGAAATCTCGTCAATAAGATCTTCAATTTCTTCTGTGCTCCTGGTATCATTGTCGAGGCTGGGTGGGGGTTTAACGACGGCAGGCTCAAAGGGCTCATGTAGCCTCTCCAGTTGTTCCCCTGGTAGCTGTAGTTGTTCTACACCGATATCATGGATTTCTGTAGACGGTGTGATACATGCTCCAAAATCTAAGGTCCAGTCCCAGTTGGCCAATGAATTATCCGAGTGATCACCCGTCGGTTGATACTGTTCTGAAATTGGGATATCCAGATCTCCAGCATCGATTATGGGTAGTGTTGATACGGCATGAGGATCTGAAAACATTGTGAAATTCGACTGGGGCGATGTGTTGTCCGGGGATGCCGATGCCTGAGCCCAAGCGCTATTTAAATCATTTGTTATTCCAGGAACAGAGAATGGCACAGAATTTGGTGCATCGGAAGGCAGATCATTGTTTGTTGATGGGGAATTAGAATTGGAGGATTTGCTGTTGATTTGATTGTTTCCTGCAACCGAATGAACTTCAGTCAAGCCAAGGACATCAAGGACTTTAGCCAAAGCCGTATCCCTTTCTTGTGGCATAGGCGGGGCCTCTAATCCACTTTGACGAATGAAGAGACAGAGCTGTTCGACTCTGCTTGAGAGAAGCTCTATGGCGACACGGAGCGGGAGCCTTCACATAATCAGCGCTATTATCTAACCAACCTCTTTTTATGGCATGACCCTGATGAGTCATTTATCACTTACTTTCTCTTGTCTACGGCCTGGTATCGACATTCGCGGTGCTTGTTCATGCAGCTGGAGCATTTGGGTTTACTGCCGTCACACTGCTGGGGTTAGCTTCTTGTCTTCCCCGGACTAATTGATAGTTTACCTTGACTTTACTCTCCCGACATGATACGCATGCCATGGAGGCATGATTCCTCTTCTTTGAGGTGACACTGGGCTTTGACATATCTTCTTCTAGGGTGCTATGAGACTGTGTATGCAACCCCCTTAGCAACACAGACAGGGGTGGCTTGAAAGGTCCAAGAAGTGCGGGGTAATATTAATGGGGAAATATTTAATCCGAACTATAACCAATGTTAACCCGCGCATTTGTATTTTAGTTCAAGCGGAGTATGTGGTAGACTATAGCCTCGTTGACGAACCTTTTGGACGGGAGATGTCGTTGATGTCCTAATTTCTCCGGGGACCAATCGCTGGTATAACCGGGGTAGATCTAACCTAATTGGGAATAGCCAACCCATACGGGATTCATAACCCGGTGTGGGGGTGCATCCTTGATGTATACCCCAGGTTTTGATACGATTAATGCGTACTATGTGGTCCTATCAGAGAGAGCAGATTTTATTGTATATAAATATCGATACAAGCGGTACACGAGTGGCTCGTGCTAATATCAGAACTTTTGAACACATTCCAAAGACCCTACTCATCATGTTTTTCAATGCACAAGGGAAATGGCTTCAATATAGAATTACTGCAGCATGTGGTGCCGGTTTCCTCCTCTTTGGTTATGATCAAGGCGTCTTTGGTGGACTCCTGGATAATAAACCGTTCCTTGAGACCTTTGGAAATCCAAGTGTGACCATTCAAGGTCAAATTGTTGCCACATATGACATTGGCTGCATCATAGGCACTCTGGTGACAATGTTCTCGGGAGACAAACTCGGTCGAAGACGGACAATTTTAATCGGGTGCTGCATCCTGATCGTTGGCGCCATTCTTCAAACCGCATCCTATTCCCTCGCCCAAATGATTGTCGGCCGTGTTGTGGCTGGCGTTGGAAATGGAATGAACACAATTGCAATTCCTATCTGGCAATCGGAAACTGCACGTGCAGAGCATCGTGGAAAACTTATTGTTGCCCAATTGGTGACGAATATTTTTGGAATCGTCATCACAAACGTAAGCTATTTCACTTACAAATACTTGAGCAATACTGATTTTTGGTAGTGGATGAACTATGGTTTCACTTTTATCCCCAACTCTCCAGTGAGCTGGCGCTTTCCTCTTGGCTTCCAATGCTTCTTCGCCCTCGTCACAATTGCTTTTGTCCTTGTCGCCCCGGAGTCGCCGCGTTGGCTTGTCATGAAACACCGTGCCAACGAAGCCCGTGAAATCCTAGCCCGCCTCCTTGCAAAGCCAATCGATGACCCCGAAGTGGTGGATGAGATACAAAGCCTGGAGATTTCTGTGAATCACGAATCCGAAGTCCAGCAATTGAAGCCCGTGAAGGCAATCTTCAAGCGCAACAACAAACAACACACATTGCGCAGGATTCTTCTTGGAGCTGGCACTGCCTTCTTCCAGCAAGTTGGCGGAACAAACGTTATTGCCTACTATTTGCCAGTCGTTCTGACCCGGTCAGTTGGGTTGGACAACAGAATGGCCCTGATCTTGTCCGCCGTTGACGCCATGTCGCTGATGCTTTGGGGCTGTGTTGCAGCTCTGCTCATTGATCGTATTGGCCGAAAGAGACTGATGCTGTTCGGCGCCGCTGGAAGCAGCCTCTGCTTTGCACTTGTCGCCGTTGGACTGCGATATGGTGGACCCGACAACAAGAGCATGTCTATTCTAGCCGTGGTATTCATCTTCGTCTACTATATCTTCTACGGTACATCGCTCTTGTCGATCCCGTATATCTATCCGGCCGAGATCAACTCCCAGCAAATGCGTAATATTGGCACTTCATTTGCAACTACTACGAATTGGCTGTTCGTTTATGTTATCGTTGTTGCTACCCCAACAGCTATCGAAAATATCCAGTGGAAGTACTACATGCTTTTTGCCATTTTCAACTTCTGTTTCCTGCCAATTATCTGGTACTTCTATGTTGAGACTGCGAACTTGTCTCTGGAGCAGATTGACAGACTCTTTGAAATCAAGCATGAGGCTGGGAATGCAATTAGCTGGAAGGAGGCAACCATGATAGCTCGCACGGAGGTTATTTCTGATTTGGCACACACTGGGAAGGACAATCTTGGCACTGAGCATTGCGAGACTGTGGCATAGCTTTACAATTTGAGGTCCTTGTGCATGTATATAGATGAAGCGGCTATATCCACTCTTAGATCGAATCTGATGTGTTCTTAAAATTACATATTTTTAAACTTTACGGGTAATGACCAAGCCATCATTAGCGCCCGCGCGGGGGTAAAACTGCCCCGGACCTCAGGTTCATCCCCATGGCATAGCCCTTTTTACCTGTAAACCCTCAGCACATTTCCGATATTCTTGAAAAGCGTACCTAGAAAATTCTCAATTCAGTTTACTAATTTGAGTTACTTTACCCATAACGAACAAAATCTAGAGTTTCTTTGCATTGAAGTCGTGAGGCACATACCTTGAAAATGACCTCTCTATGCATTGACCTTGGAACCGAGGTGCAGATAGCGTAAAAAGGTAGGTTTAGTAATAGGATACACTCCCGAGGTCGGCGATACTCCTTGCAATTGCAGTAGCCGCCGTCTTGGTTACCAAGTATCAATTCTACTCGGATTCCCTTTCCCGGCCAAGCCTTGTACCCACTCCAAACGTGTGTATATAATACCGACTCTGAGGCATTGTTGAAGCGACTACTCCTGGAATCTATATTTCAAACCCTTCAACTATTACTTCTCCCCTAAAAAAACATACATTTTTCTTTCAAGATGTCAGCCCCGAAGTTGCGCGTCGGTATCGCCGGTCTTGGCCGAATGGGTAGGGCATTGCTTCCGAATCGTATTTCTGCAAGTCCGCCAATTGACACATAACAGGCCAACGACATGCTACAAACTACCATATCTTTACTCCTCGTGCTGAGGTGGTAGCAGCAAGCTCTCCTGATCTCAACGAGCACAAATGGGCAAAAGAAAACCTTACAGGAGCAAAGATTTACACAGACTATTATGAAATGCTCGAAAAAGAAAACTTGGATGCTGTAGTTGTTGCTGGTATTACTGCAGTCCACGCAGATCATACTATTGCCGCTATTAAGAAGGGATTGCACGTCATGTGCGAGAAGCCTTTGTCTCTTGACATCAAGATCGTACGTCTTTCTATGTGTTACAAAATATGGAGACATATGCTAACTACAACAGGCTCAATCCGTTCTGGATGCCTACAACACATCTCTTAAGACATACCCCAACCAGAAAGTCATGTGCGGTTTCTCACGCCGCTTTGATGCTTCCTACCGCGAAGCCTTTGAGAGAATGAGCTCAGGCCAACACGGTCGACCAGTGCTCTTCAGATCCCAGACCGCAGATATGCTCGACACTACTGGAACATTTGTACAGTACGCCAAGACAAGCGGTGGAATCTTCCTTGACTGCTCCATCCACGATATCGACCTGATGCTTTGGTTCCTTGGTGAGGATACCAATGTCAAAAGTCTGCAAGCTATTGGAGTAACTGCCGTTCACACTGCATTGGATTCGAGCAAGGACCGTGACAATGCGGTAGCTACAGTCGAGTTTGAGGGAGGCAAGATTGCCACCCTTTTCTGCTCGCGCATGATGGCTGCTGGACAGGAAGATGCTACTGAGATCATCTGTGAGAAGGGGTCGCTCAGAGTCAATATGCATGGCCAGAAAAACCACCTTGAGATCCACGATGGTCAGGGAGCCAGACGTGAGCTTCCTAAGCATTATTACGAGCGTTTCAGAGAGGCTTTCCTCACGGAGGCTAACGAGTTCACTGCTTGCTGCTTGAATAACACGACTCCGCCAGTGTCTCTTTCAAGCTCGGTTAAGGCAGTTGTTATTGGTTCGGCTTTGCAGAGGAGTTTGACTAGTGGTGAGAAGATTGTCTTCGAATCTGGGAAAGAGGCTAGACTTTAGGTGCATGGCACTTTCCACCGGAAGTTGTCCAATTATAAATATCCAATTATAAATACACTCATTAAATAGACAACGAAGAATTTTTCATATGACCCGCGTCACACATGTCACCGCATAATTATCTACAACACGTCTCTATGCATCTTTAGTTTCTATCCTTTCCTCACCCTGCGGCTTTCAAGAATCTAGCCTCTGAATTTAAGCCACTTCTTTCGACTCGAATGTTTGCGCTTGTGTCATTCGAACCATCCAAGAGCTAGGGAAAGCGACAGACTTCTGTGCCAAAGTTGAGACCACAATGACCAAGAGGGTAACTTGCACCTGATTGATCTCTAAGATGGGGGTCAAGTGTATAAAATGGGAACTGTAAGTTTCAACCGTCTCTTCTGTGAGGGGCCTGACTGACATATATCGTATTAGGCACTGCACTCCCGTAGAGTGTTAGTAGGTATTACTTATTGCCTAAATCGTTCCCCCCATTGTCCCAGCTTCTGAGCCTTTCAACAACAGTTATCTCTACCATAGTTAGGATGGGTGTATCTTCTCGTTTTCGATGAGTCGAAAAATGAATAAAAAAAAGACTACTCAACGCCCAAGGTCAGTGTTTGGAGTGGAAAGGGTTGATAATTTAAGTAACGATATAACAGAAAATTTGCAACTCGTATGGTGTTGGAAGTCATTTTGAACATGTCAACTACCTTTGCCTGTTTCGAATTCGCAGCTAGAAAGGCCAACCAAAACACTTCTGTTGCAGATTTGACCAGGTGGCGTTCTTTGGCTACACGGACTGAATGGATGGATCCTAAGGTATACCCAAGATCTGAACTCCCAGATACCATGAACAGCTCTAGAGTGGGTCAGCTTTCATAATAGCGGCGTGTCGATCATCACTAAGCCGGCCGTTACAAATGTCAACACATGCCCGTAACGGGAAGGGCAATGAGCTATCTCTTCTACTCTGAATGCTCACCCTACACGTGCCGGTCATGCGCCAATAATAGACCCATGTGCTTCCAGGACACCTTCAGTCAATTTTGCAGCGGGTTCAGCAACGGAAGGTATTGGAGCCTCTGGGCTTGAGGAATCACCAGAAATTGTTGATGGTGGATTCTGTTCCATTGAATGCATGGTTTCTCGAGACCGTGCTATGCGCGACGTCCGTGAATGCCCGAGCTATGAATTCAAAGCTAATCATCCCCGAGCGAAAAATTTCAAGAAAACGAGCAGCTCGAGGGTGGGTCAGGTTTCATATGGCTCACCGCGCCTTAGGACAATTTTTCAGCGGGTTGGGTAACAGAAGGTATTGGACAATCCGAATCCTGTTGGCTTGAAACATTACCAAAAAGATTTTGATTGGGGTTCTGTTCCGTTGAATGCATGGTCCATCGAGACTGTGCTATGCGTAATGTTAGTGAATGCCCGAGCTGTGCATTCAAAGTCGAGCGGGAAATACTGGAGAAACAACCCAGCGAGTCAGTCAGTGGCCTCCAGGCAGTGTTGGACTCGCAAAGAGCGTGAGCAATACGATTCGGCTGATTATGACAAAGAAGACTAAACTGGCCTTGTGATGTACACTGTACTAATAGTCTTTTTTGAAGTATTTCGAGCAGGATTTCTAGTACTGTTATTTAGATGTCTTATTAGATTCTATGCGTAACCTTCGGTATTTTATGGAAATATGAAGGATTCATATGAAGATATCAACTCTAAAAGAAGAGTCTAGATTATGACTGTTCTCTACCCCTTCAAATGTAGACCGTGTACAACACCTGCGGTGAGACTAAAACCTTTTGAGACATGCAAACAGGCCTAGGTGTAACCTCAGGGACTGTCAGGTGGTCCAAACTCTTTTCCAGAACCTCATATAAAATCACCTATCTTTCTGTAGAATACAATTCTGGTTGTTTCATAAGCCCACTACTCTAGGTAAAGCACTAGAGTATCAGTTTCTTTCAGTGATAGGGTAAATAAGCAAGGCAAGATCTAGTTAGATAAACTAAGAGCCTAGTGAAAATTATAAAAAAAAAAAAAAATCCTTTACCTAAAAGAGTAACATAAAGAAAGTACCCTCTAGGTGGCTCTGGCCTTGTGGTGAGCCACACCGTTTCCCGCACCTGTGAGGGGAGCAGATGTGAGAAATGGGGGAGCTTGACGCTCCCCCCGGCATAGAACCAAAAAATGCTCGTCGGTCGGCTCTCTGCGTCAACAGAGCGGGAAATCAAAATGAGTTCCGGCTGTTCCTTCTGTACCTCTGGGTATCGATCTTTTTTTTTTCTTTTTCCCCTTTATCAAATTAATTGGAAGGCTGACTTTCCCACTTATCCAGGACTCATATGAGAACTTGACGAGGGTACACAGTAGAAAGCTGATATTGTATCTGATTAGTTGACTACAGCATAAAATCGGTTGCTGTTGTAGGCAAAATGGAGTATTTGAAATGATACGGGACAGACCTGAGGCAAGAAGCCTACTTTTTGCTTTCTCACCAGAGAAACTGACGTTGAAACTCGGACGAAGGCGCTCCCTGCCAAGAACTCATTCTCTCCACCGGAGCACTCTCTTCACGTGCATCACTCGATGACTCGAGGGCCTGACAGTTCGGTGTTTCATTGAGAGTTCCATCGGTATCTCGAGTTGCAGTAGACATCTGAACCGAACCATCGGGCGCTTCATTCTGCAAACGCCTTTTCTCAGAGCCCTGTGTCTCCAGACCCACCCTTTTAGGCTCAGTGCAAGCTTGCTGCCACCTCCGAATACCGTCAGAAGTATCAAGGGGGAATCGCCACCAACTCTCAATCCCTCTCCTCTCGAGTCTAGCGAATGGCACATATGTGCCAGTACCGTGATCTTGGCTGCTTTCTCGGCGAGCAATCGCAGCTGAAAGCTGCTCGTCCGAGACATGTGGGAGCAAACTCAAAAGAATATTCTCAGTGAGCTGAAGTCGATTCTCCAGTGCTTCGGCATATCCTTTCTCTGGTCCTCTTCGAAGCTGTTCGGGCCAGTTGCATGGTCGGTTGTTTTCGAAACACTGTTCGCAAACGGGTTTTCGGCCGCTACATTTTTGTTTTCGCGATCGACACGCGTTGCAAGCGATTGTTATACGCCCAGGCCGTTTTGCCTTTGATTTCGATGTCATTTTTATTTGTGTGGAAGGTCAAGAGATGTCGAAGTGAGCATGGTACTCGCAGTGGCGAACGGCAAATCCCATCGCCTGAAAGTTCTCCCGACAGTTCGGATTGTCGCTATAGCGGCCACTCAGTCAAAAGACGTATAGGGTAGGATGAACTATCAACCATATTGATAGCAGCCATATTTATAGTCTGGAAATTTACCTGCATTTGATTTTGTGGAAATTCTCATCACATCCTTTCGAGTTCGGTATATATTTCCTCATTGAATTATGGCTTCAAAGAATTCATACCGCATTGCCTCTATCCCAGGCGATGGCATTGGTCCCGAGGTAGTCAGTGCTACTATCCAAGTTGTCGAGAAACTCGCGAATACTCTTGGCACATTCAATATCGACTTTGTGCATATCCCATGGGGAACCGAGTATTACAAGCAAACTGGACGATATGTGTCTGAAGATTGCCTCGACACTCTACGCAAGTACGATGCTGTATTATTCGGTGCCGTTGGATCACCTGGTATGTTCTCTATACTGCATAGTATCATACCAACCACTGGACTGATAAATAGCAATATTAACACAAACAGACGTGCCCGATCACATCTCTCTCTGGGGTCTTCTTCTCGCCCTCCGCGGCCCACTCCAGCTATACGCAAACGTCCGACCAGTACGGACCTTCCCAGGAACCAGATGTCCGCTCAACACCGCAACAGATGGCATCGACTGGATGCTCGTACGGGAAAACTCCGAAGGCGAGTATGCAGGACAAGGCGGACGATCTCACGTCGGACAGCAATGGGAAGCTGCGACAGAAGTGGCTGTATTCACGCGCGTGGGAATCGAGCGGATTATGCGATTCGCATTTGAGACAGCGCGATCCCGGCCGCGCAAGCTCCTGACTATCGTCACGAAGAGCAATTCCATGCGTAACGGGATGGTGTTATGGGATGAAGTTGCCGCGATTGTCGCTAAGGACTTCCCCGATGTGACGTGGGATAAGATGCTTGTTGATGCGATGACTGTTCGGATGGTGGCGAAGCCACAGTCGATCGATACTATCGTCGGGACGAACTTGCATATGGATATTTTGTCGGATCTTGCCGCTGCGTTGGCCGGGTCGATTGGTGTTGCACCTTCTAGCAACTTGGATCCTACGCGCAAGAGTCCGTCGATTTTTGAGCCGGTTCATGGTAGTGCTTTCGATATTACTGGGAAGGGAGTCGCGAATCCGGTTGCTACTTTTTGGTCGGCGGCGGAGATGCTTGTCTGGATTAGTGAGAAGGATGCTGCTGCGAAACTGATGGGTTGTGTGGAACGGGTTTGTGCCCGAGGCATTCTGACTCCTGATCTGGGAGGGACATCTGACACTCAAGGGGTCGTGGATGCTGTTTGTCTGGAGATTGAAAAGTTGTGAAAGAAAGTCTGAGACAATTCATTGTCTTTTCTTCTTTTCTTCTTTCCTTCTGTTCTTTGTTTCTTCTTTTGTTCTTGTCTCATGTCTGAAATAACACTTTAGTTAAACTGATCAGCTGGCCCTTGGATATGATAAGCACAAAATACCAAAGACTGATTACAGAAACTAAACCTATAGAACTCTTTCTCCTAAGTAACGACCAATATATTCTTAAGGACTGTTCCAAAAAGCTCAATTAAGTGTCAAATTTGTATGAACATGTATAAACGGAATCTCAAAGCCATCTCGCACAAGATGGAACAGGCCAGGAGCCCAAGAACTAAGAAACCTGAAAATGTCATTATAGCAATATGACACCTGTTTTCCTCATATAAAAGGGAATAAAAGTAGTGGAAACAACATCAGTATTCCTGTCTTAGTGTAAAACTAGTTTCAACATTTAAACGACTTTATCATCCTATATCAAGGCCTCACAGTCACTCAGAAAGCATTCTACAGGGCCTTCAAACAAGCCAAATCCAAAGCCAAATTCATTCGAGCCCATCTATTCAAACTCGGCATTTTTTTTATCAGAAAACAAGTCAGTCCTTCTATCCGCAAACCCACAAGTCTAACTAACACTATCCAAGGCATGTTTTACCAAAACGGAAGGTTAATGCAAGAGTCCGAATACGACCCTCGAACAACCGCCTGGGTGAACATATTTTTCAATCCACGCGACTACAGATGTGACGATCTCACCATAATGCGCACAGTCGTTACTTGTATCCGCACAAGAGTCGTCAGCATCACCGACTATGCTATGCACCATGATTACCCGCTCTGCCTCTCGATCCAAGTTCCCGGAGAACACAATGATAACGAGTCAATTCTTGCTGCTGCAGAGCTATCGGCGGAGTATCTGATATCACAGGTTGCCAGGGGGTTTGTTCGCATTAACCGCTCTTTGCTTTTTGGGAGGAGATAGATGATTGGCGTTTGGTTTCATTGGGAACGGGGCCTTTGGTGGTGTTTTGCTTTTTGTCATTTGATATTGAACTTGGGACCTCTAGTTTCTGATTCTTAAGGTGGCTTACAGCTTGGTTGGACTAGATATTTGATAGAATAGGGAGTTCGGTAATCTTTGGTTTTCTCTATATTGTCAACAATGTCTATGCTCTAGAAGCAGCCCTAGAGGATTACATCTTATATAAATACGAGTATTAATATTACTGGCTACAGTCATATGAAAGCAAAATGAGGTAGCCCCCTCGATGATTTGGTTCTGAGGTTCCGAGACAGTATGTCTTGATAGTATTGCATTTTATGCTTTATACTGTTATACGGCGCTGCTAGTCGAAATGGTCGATCAATTGCATACATTGTATTTTCAAGCTCAACCGTGAAAGGTCCATTATCACGATAAAGTAGGCAGAAAAGATGCGTACATAGATTTCTTCAAGTCTAAATTAGGCAGACTTCAAACTGCTAGTGATCTCTCAAAGATTTCCTCAATAAGCATAGACAAAGACGTCCTGGAATAGATGAAAGACTTGAAAATAGCATTGTATGATCATGGCTCCTTTGTTTTAGCCTTCTGGCTAGAAACAATAAAAGATTCCCAGGCAGTGAGTATATAAAAGGCAGAGTCCATATAATACCAGAACAGGACTCGACCATCACCTTCCCATCTTGCCATCTTTCCTCCCACACTCCACCAAACAATATCAGTCACAAAGTAAGTACCACACCCCCAAGCCAATATGCAAGGCCAAGACCAAGACATGGATATTCTCATTCCCGACATCCAAAGTATGCAGAGCATGTTCTACTTCGACGGGGAGCTACTCCCAGAGCCCGAGTATGATCCGCGCCAGGTCAGCAACTGGGTGAACGTCTTCATCGAGCCACGGGACTCTAAGTCCGACGACGAGACTCTTATGCGCACAGTTGCCGCTTATATCAGAACTAGCACCGCTACGATCTCCGTCCATGCTAAGCATCATGATCACCCACTGTGCGTCTCTATCAAGGTGCCCGGAGACTACCATTCCAGCAAAGCGTCTATTTTTGCGGCTGCGGAGCTGCAGGCTGAGTACTATTGCCAGGAGATTCGGAATGGGAGAGTCCGTATCAATCGGACTTTGCTTTTCCGGCGTGAGGTACAAGCTCGGGAGTGATGGTGATGGCGATGGTGATGATGGATGGGTTATGCCTGAATGGGCTATTTGATACATATGCATTTGATACAGCGTTTGGAGGAAATACCCATACACACCGCATGAAAGATATGATTATTTTGGTTTGTCTTCTTTGGTATTATTCAAGTAGATTCGTTGCTAGATCGTAGATTATTTTATATTTTTCATTAGTAGTGGGTAACATGGTTTTAGAAATTTGGGAATTGCTGCCCGATGATATCGAACAAAGTGTCGAAGTTTGCGCCCTCGATTAAATCGACCATGTTCAAGTCGAAATTCGATATCCCCTCAAATCGCGCCGACCCTGTGCCCTGTAAATCCATCTGCAGTGAAGAGGGTATATCGTCGAGGATTTCCTGCTCGTTCATCTGTGATAATTGCATCGATACAGGAGGGACCAGCGTGGGGTCATGTCCCCTGCGCATGGATTCTTCCCATGTGTTCTTCCATCGCCTAATATCGGACGGTTCTGCGGACAAGGCAGGCTGTTCTTGCAAGTGCGACAGACGACTAAGTCTTTGTAAATTCTCCTCGCGTGTAGTTAAAGATTGCACCAGTGTTGGACTTCCTTCAGAGCCCCTCGTCACATATGCCTGGGAGTTTGCTGTTGGGTCGGAGCTGCTTTCTGACTGTTGGATTTTCGCTGCTAGTACTGAGAGCGATATTTGGCAATGCTTCGCTGTCTCCCATTTGCTGGACATCAGACGCAAGAAGCCTGAAAATTCCTCAATTTCCCTATCTCGTTATTAGTATGTAGTAATCAATCAAAGGCCAAGCAAATTAAATAGAGACACGTCACGTACTGAAGACCCTTTGTCAACGAATATTGGTTCAATTGACAAGCCAAAGCCAAAACCAACCCAGACATCCACGCAGCCGACAAAAGGCCGGGCCAGAACAAAGCCTGATGGCTATCAACTTGCAACCTGAGTGCTGAAAGGATAGCTCTCGCAGCCCCAATACAGGTTTGCAATCCAGAACAGAATTCCGCAGTTGACGGATCCAGCGATAATGAAGGCCGATGAATGATCAGAATGAGATGCTGATACAGTACAGTGAAGAAAGGAGCAAAATCAAACGCAGCATCCGCCATCGCAGATCCTCCCGCTGGCTTTCTTTGGAGATCAATCGGAAGGCCATTCCACCACTTATGCACATCTGTCACGAGGAACAATACCGAACTACGACGAACGGATCGAACCAATATTGATTTGTGGAAAAGTTCCAATGCCCGGCCTGTCAGAGTACCCGAATTAACATAGCTGGCAAGAACGCGTTCTTTGTCGTGGCCTTCTACACCGTGCTGCGGCGCAGAACTGCCATTCGCAGACTGAGTCGTCTCGCCCCGAGGGGAATGCATTTCCCGGGCAGCAGGCAGACACACATCGATATCAGAATCCTGTATACCAAGCGGCAAGCCTAAAGCCTGACTCAGGTATCTATCGATCGCATAAGCGCACCAAAAGACCCGCTTCCGCAGTTGTCTGTCGTGGGTAGAGAGTTGCTTGTATCGAAACGGACATCGGTGGAGACCGGCATGAAGCATCGAGCGTAGGATACAGCCTCCGACAGTCGATGCCTGCCGAAGTGACATGGTCGCGACTAGATAGACTTGGATAGCTAGAAGTGCTTGCAGGGAAACGATATCATGTCGAGAAGAGAGAGTGCCGAGCAAAGAGTTGAAGCTGTCCGGTGATTGGATCTTCGATTCGGATGGTAGGTCCAAGTCTGGCGCTAGCAGACTACCTAGATTGAAGACACATTGGAGAATGGTTGTCCAGCATGTACTCCGGTGATCTATGCATGGTTCCTGTGTGTGCTGGTTTTGATTTTCACTGGAGTAGACCTTCTCCATCCCTTGCAGGAAGGTGGGACCGTGCAGGAACGGGAAAAGAGGGTGCCAGACTTTGAAATACATCATCATAAAGCCCCTAGCCACGTCTGGGGGTGGTAGACTCCCCAAAGACGCCGTCAATGATGGGTCGTAGGTCCATTCTGCGGGAGATTCGACTACTTTCAATGGAGCAGTGTCTCTGGTGGATGAGGTGCGCTGGCGCTTGTCACAAGACGAGGTTTCACCTACAAGCATTTCCTCTGCTGTAGGGAAGGGGCCATCTAGGCCGTTGAATGCACGTTTCACCGTCTTGATGAAATAGACGCCGCTTGAACTACCGACAAACTGGCTGTCCTCGTTCGAGTGTGCCGTCAAGCAACCAATTTCAGATGTCTCGGGCACATATTCCGATGCCATTGTGTATATATCATCTCGTGTGAGTGAGACGTTCTCTTTATAGCTCGGTTATTTCCACAGAAATTATCCGTCCACAGGTCCAATCGAGAATATGCTGAGTCATCGGAATGCGAACGATAGCGGCCAAAAGATTGAGAGTCACATGAAATAAAGAAACATCTCTCGTCTACGATCGAAGGGAAGTTGATGAAGCAAAATAGGCCACGGCATCCTATTGATTGTCTGGTGCTCCTCTCCCGAATCTGAGAACAAACAAACAGGACGACCGGACCTTTCCGTGAGGAATTCATAAATCTATCTGCCTCTCAAATTGAGTGAACCACAAGCTGGAGAGCACAGCAAGGGAGAGCGAAACGAAAAAGAACTTCACAAATCCCTCCCAGCCGAACAAAATAAAAATAGAATAAAGTAGGAACGAAGATTGCAGAAAGGTTGTCAAAGGAACCACACCCAGCGCCTAGAAGGAAAGGACTTTTACCAATGTCAATCCTGGAAACACTCAATATAGCCCAGTCCGGAAGATCAAGGGAAATAGTACTAGGGAAACCCGGAAAAGAGAAAAAAAAATCCGAATGTCATACCGCATTCACTAAACACCAGGAAGGTGACTGCCTAAGAACAAACTTTTCGAACCGAGGGATATCAGGATCAGAGATAGAAGTAGGGGAGAAAGGGTAAAAGATAGGAACAAATAATGATAAGAGAAAGGAAAAGTCGTCAACAACGTGCGTCCAAGATTTCTGAGAAGACAAAAGAACACATCAATTAAGACTTGTTCTCCTCAACAGGTGCCTCCTTGGGAGCTTCCTGGGGCTGTTCGGTGGTCTCGCCATCACCCTTGTTCTTCATGTACTCATCATAGACGTTAAGGGCCTCATCAACCTTGCCGCGGAGAGCCTCCTCATCATCGAGCCTGAAAGAAGGTTAGCAAATCATCTCGCATTTAAAACAAAAACAATCGGTGTAACTTACAGGCCAAGCAACTCAGCGTTATCCATCTCAAGAAGCATACCAGTGATCTTGCCAGCAAGCTCGGGTTGCTGAGCCTGGATCTTGGGGTAAAGAGCCTCGCCGAGCATCTGCTTCTGCTGAGCAGGGGGGGCAGCGAGGAGAGCCTGGTTGGCAGAGGCGGGCTCGCCACCAGCGGGCTGACCGCCAGGGGCGGGCTGGCCACGACCACCACCACGACCCATCTGAGGACCACCACGGCCGAAACCGGGACCGCCACGCATGTTCATGGGCATACCGGGAACACCACGGCCACCACCTCCACGTCCGAAAGCCTGGGGAATAGGGTAACCCATGCCGTTAGGAATACCACCAGGAGCCTGCATGCCCATGGGCATACCCTGGAAGTTAGGAGGAAGCTGCTGGTTGGGGGGCATGCCACGGCCACCCTGCTGGGGGAAGGGACCGGGGTACTGGGGACGTCCGGCAGGCATGTTAGGCATGGGCATACCGCCCTGGGGAGCGAAGGGCATACCGCCACGCTGTCCAGGAGGCATGAAGCCCTGCTGGCCAGCACCGTAGAAGACGGCGGGCTGCATGAACTAGTCAAAGTTAGTAACTAAGTAAGTATAGGTCAAGAGAATTGTAACTTACGGGCTGGGGCATACCGGCAGCGGCGGCGGCCTGCTGCTGGCGGATGGTGTTGCGAGCCTGGATGCTAGCCTCAAGCTGGCTGCGGCGGACATCCTTGCGCTGAGCGAGAGCAACGTAGAGGGGCTTGCCGTTGACCATACGCTGGTTCATCTCGGTGACAGCCTTGGAAGCCTCATCGGGGCTGCTGAAGCAGACGAAACCGAAGCCCTTGCTCTTGCCGAAGGCCTTCTTCTCAGCCTTCTTCTCCTCAGAGTCCTCTCCGGTGGTCTCCTCAGTCTTCTTCTCCTCGGCCTTCTCCTCAGTCTTCTCTTCGGTGGTCTTCTCGGTCTTCACCTCCTCGGAGTCCTTGGTCTCCTTGTCGGCCTCCTTCTCCTCACCCTCGGGAGAGGGAGAGCGCTCAGCGGCATCACGCATAACCTTGGCGGAGGTGATAGTACCGTAAGGAGTGAAGAGGTCACGAAGCTTCTCATCATCAACATCGTCGGTCAAGTTCTTGACGTAGAGGTTGACACCCTGGTACTTGGAGGCCTTCTCCATACGGGCAGCCTCGTACTGCTTGCGCAGCTCCTCCTCACGCTCGTGCTTCTTCTGGGCACGACCAACGTAAAGCTTCTGGCTCTTGACGTCCTTCTCGTTCATCTCAGCCACGGCAGCCTCGGCGCTCTCGTGGTTGGCGTAGTTGACGAAGCCGAAGCCACGGCTCTTGCCATCCTGGTCGTGGCTGAGGGTAGCGGAGGTGATCTCACCGAAGGCCTCGAACATGACGCGGAACTCGTCGTCGGTGATCTCAAGATCGATGTTCTTGATGTAGATGTTGGTGAAGTTGGCCTTCATCTCCTCGAACTTGCTCTGGCGGTCCTTCTTGGAGATGTGGTGACCGACAAAGACCTTCTTGTCATTCAGCAGCATACCGTTAACGTGCTTGATGGCGTTGTTAGCAGCCTCGGCGGTCTCGTAGTGGACGAAACCGTATCCCTTAGAGTTGGCGAACTCATCCTGGGCAACCTTGCAGCTGAGAATGTTACCGAAGGCAGCGAAGGTGTCGTGGAGAGCCTTGTTGTCAATGGCGTTGTCGAGGTTCTTGATGAACACGTTACCCTGGCCAGTCTTGCGCAGAGCGGGGTCACGCTGGGACCACATGATACGGCAAGGCTTTCCCTTGATGAGAGTGTAGTTGAGGTCCTCAAGAGCACGCTCACCGTCAGCAGTGTTGTTGTAGTTGACGTAGGCGTAGCCGAGGGAGCGGCGGGTGACGGCATCACGGCAGACACGGATAGAGGCGACCTGACCGATGGAAGAGAAGAGCTCGTAAAGCATAGCCTCAGTCACAGAGGGGTCAAGCTCGCCGACGTAGAGGGAAGCCGAGTGGGGCTGGTTGTTGGCAGCATCGCCGGCGGCCTCGGAAGTGGCCTCGACGGGAGCGCCATTGGCCTCGGGAGTCTCGGCGACAACGTTGTCGGTGACAGGGGCGGTAGTGGGGGCTTCAGCAGACATGATGGCGGCTGTTTTTACTGAAGGAAAAAGTTTTAGCATGTGCATCCCGAGCCTATCGCGCAGAGGGGGAGGGGGAAATCAAGGAGGCATATAAGATAAGGTTACACGGCAGTTGATGCAGTCTCTTTGGCAAGCAACCAAGGGGGGAATGAGAAAAATGAGGGGTGAATCAATACAAAGGGAAGGGTGCCATACAGCGAAGTATCCACGAAACAAAGAGTTCAGAGAAATTTCACTTGAGCTGAGAGCACTGGTAGCGGGTTAGCGGGGAGGGGAATCCAAGTGTTTTGGCATGCGCAAGAGAGATAGGAGAAGCAGAGATGACACGGTTTTCAATATAGAGTTAAAGAGAGGACAAAAATCAAAAATGACTAACCAGGTGAAAATGAAGACGATGGAGGCGTTGAAAGAAAATCTTCCACACAACACACCGCACAATCGGGGATGAGATAAGATAACTGGAAAAAGTTTTTTCTGGGTTTTTCGTGTTTTTTTGAGATTTTGTATCTTTCGATTAAGGATTCGAAAAGAAAAGGAAGACTTTTCCCTGAAGAAAGAGAGAGAACGAAGATGGAGGGGGAGGTTGTAAGGGGAAGAAAAAAAGTTGAGCCGTCCAAAAGCAATTGGTTCTGGAAAACTCAGAGGCTGCACGAGATGGGGACACTAGTCCTATTTGGGTTGGGGTTGCCGCTTTAAGGGCTTGTTAACTAGAACCTCGGAAGTAATGGACAAAAAAGTACGGAGTACATATTTTGAAATAAAATATGTATCTTCGTATATCTTTTTCAAACGAACCTGCTATGCATGCAATAATTAATCATAGACTGTCTAACTGGAAAATGTACACGCACTAATGCCCTGAATGCTCCTTTCAACTCAAATCAAACCCAGCACCCGAACTCACTGCATACAAAAGTTTGCTCCTCAATGTGTCTGCATCAGAGTACCGTGGCAGTTTGAGAAGATTTACACAAGTACTGGTGCTTGGCAATCGTTCCTGGTCATCACTCGAATCTCTAATGCTAAAGTTGGGACGAAGGTGGCTGAATCCTAGCAATGGAGCTCGAGGAGTAGATGTCACGAACCGGATGACCTTTTGCCGCTCCTCGTTGGTCATCTCGTGCATAACCTGCCAGAATAGTGCAATAGTCGGGTGTTCTAAATTGTCATCGCCAATCACATACACGCCTCCGTAGAGGGTGTTCCGTCGCAGGTCCTCCACATCGATATCAGCCTTGTCTCCACTCACTAACGTTTGCAACTCCGATTGATTGAACATGGACAGCCAGGCGGGTTGGATAATCTGACCCAGACCTTGCAAAAAGGCATTAGTCTGTAGAGCAGGTTGCAACTGCAGACGGTAACGAGCCATGTAGGAAATGTAGACCAATCTGTTTTTGTTTGTCACGGCGGTCTGTGAGCCATTTGTTTTCAACTCTACCGTGACAGTGCGGTTGTTTCCACTGGGCATCCGAATTATGTTGTTAATGGTGAAGTCAAGACCAAAGTCTTCCACATTTCCGGGGTAATTCTTCAATTGTAACTGTAGGAAAAAAAAAACTTGGTCAGCTGCAGGTTCAAAAAGCACAATCTTGAGCTTGCCACCCAGGGGCACTACTTACCAAACCCTGGTACAATCCCTCATCAAGGTCCTTCAAATCGTTCAAGTTGGCACGATAGGAAGATTCCTTCACTGCAGACCTAGAGCCTCCTGTCAAGGCCCACTTCAAGAGGAAGAATGGTGCAAAGTTAACATCGACCAGGATTCCCTCGTAAAGACACTTTCCGATGACGCGGCCGAGGAATTCATAGCGTCGAAGAAGTCCGCGTACGTCATCCTGCCACTCTGCACTTGAACTTGTGAGTCCAGCCTCGCTAAGTACCTTTTTGAGCTGGTCAACAGCCGTCGGGCTAGGATACAGTAGATGGTGATCATTTTCCGCAAACATGCTCTCATAGTCGTCGGTCTTGAAAGCTTCGGCAGTGATACTGGTCAGGAACTCCTTGGTCACACCGCCACCATCAATACCAGCCTCCATTGCTCCAAACTGGTCGATAAAACTGATCTGGATTGGCTCTTTGAGGCCGTCACCCAAGCTATAGTATTGAGAGAATGCATCTTCAAAAACACTCTCACGCCGGATGTCGGCGTGGTGTCGGGCCAAGACATCCGCAGCACCCCCAGGCGGTCCATTTAACATAGCGGTTTGGGCTACAGACAAGCGCCAGGATTCAGGATCCACGAAGCCTTTCCGGCGACGCTGTTGATCCCTGAAGATAAATTGACGGAAAATCTGCACTCTCGTGGCAAATGGGATGAAGAAAGGCATATTTCGAAGTATCTCCAGTCGCGGTGCAATGGCGGCAAGGGCATTATTATGAGCTTGTCTTCGTTGACTATTTCGCATGGCCTGAATGTGAATTAGTCGTCGCGCATGACTATTGCCAACAAGTTGAGCAGGCTCCGGGTATTCCTCATCAAGAAGATCAGGTTCGGACTCTTCATCGTCGTCCTGGAATTCATGGCGTTTCTCCTCTTCTGCCACAACGGCTGGAATAAAGCCTTCCATGTCGAATCGATCTGTCATCAACCAATGATTTTGAGGGAGGAACTTGCGTCGAGAACTAAAAGCGTGTCAGCCGGGGTGCTTTTATCATGCCGAATAGAACATCTCCACTTACTCTCGCTCATGCAGCATTCTGAGCAAACCTGTAACCAAGCCTTTAAAGTAGTCAAGCGGGATACCTGTCACACCAGGAAGATCATTGATTTCCTTCTTAGCATCCACTTCAAACCGCTCTGTTGGTCCAGAAACTTGAGCCGAGTTGCTAAAATAACTTCTAAGATCCACAGTGGATGATGGAACAGGCCCTTTCTTGGTCAAGTCGGCAACGTTCCAGTACAGGGTAAAGGCGAGATTTTTGAGGAAGACAGTCATGTCTTTAATGTCTTCAAGGGGCAGCGCACTCTCTTTCGTCCACGAAGACAGAACAGTTGATGAAGTTGTAAATGGTGATGCGCTTGAGAAAAACTCTTCGTCATCCATGACTTTCAAGAGGAACGTATAAAGCTCGAAAAAGAGGAGAATAATCGTCCACTCCTGCTCTTGGTCCTCTTTGTCCCCATCTTGTGGCAGTTGCAGTAATGGCAAAACTTGAGTTGAATCCTTGCTAATGATGTCAAATATCCGACTAGATTTTGATGCCTGCCAAAAATATTTGATCGCCGGGATTTTCGCACCTGGCTGGCCAGAAATCGGACCTGCTGAAGGCGCCGAACCCAGGTATAACCACATCCGGATATCGTCACCACGACGAGGGAACACTCTCAGCAAATTCAGAGCATATGTAGCAAGGATTTTGGCTTCTCTCGAAGCATTAGATTCGTTGTTTGATAGTTCTGTGTGAGAAAGGTGCGATGTTTTGATGCGAGAGAGTAACCCCGTGATGCTACTTTGGTTGACCAGGCTACCGACTTGATCTGTAACAAACTGATCTAAATAATGACCCCGGATTGGATCCGGGCCATTTTCTTCCGCTTCTAAGCACCGTGTCAGGTAGATGGATGTTGAGTTAAGCAACCCAGATACCACATTCAGGAATCCGAGGTCTGGCGCTTGCAAGTTGGCCTGGCCTGGAAGGGCATATCGGTGAAAGAAGATCAAGTACGCAAGCAGCCAAAGTCGACCCTCAATACCCTCGACGTCGTCGGTAGAAAGGCGTTCTTTGGTCAGAGGAATACATGATTCGATTGCAGGTGCCAGTAATTTGTAGTTGATTTGGTGTGCCAATCCATCAAGCTCACCAAGATAAACAGGCAGGTTCGGAATGGTAAGATATGACATAGCAAGAGCTTCATAGGCTGTCATCGTTTCCGGGGTAATTGGTCTCAGAAGAGCCAGGACAGCATTCGTTATATGCTCTGGTGATAGAGTGCCTTCCCAGAGCTTAATGTTCTTTGTCAAGAACGCCATCGTTTGGTAGTAGTGTTTGGCAATTGTTGCCATCTTCTTCGGTATCAAGTCGATCAGGAAGACTATCGTCCGGAGGAGAGGCAAAACTGCCGCTTCGTGAGTCGGGCTGTCCCTTGCAGACCTGAGGGCATATAGAATAGCGATTGCCAGCCGTTTCAACAGCTGGGTCCATTCATTTTCCGTAGCGATCGTGGGGAGAGCATGGAAGGTCTGCTCAAAGACATTGCAGAAATATACCAGGCGTAGCACATCTTCTTTCTTTCTTACCAATCCCACAAACTGAACCAGAAGCCTGAGCTGGTCTAAACATTGCTCTGCTGTGGGATATGGTGGTGCGGAAAGACGTGCTAGACATTCCAGACGCTCGAACTCCGTCGTTGGGCCGCGATCATCATCAAATCCCAGGGCACTTATAACTCTCTCCCACTCAAATTTATCCCATTCAGACTTCCAGCCCTTATATGTTGCTTTCCTACTCTGATGACCCCGCCAAACTCGCTGAACGGTGCGAGATGCGGTCTGTCGATCTCTCTCCTGTTGTCTCAAGGCTCGCTCCCGTTGGGCAATGGCGACTGCGCTCTCAGGATTTGCAGCATGGGGAGTTTGTCTGTTCGGCGAATTTCCCGGGAATGCAGCAAAGGGATTAGTGGCTCGGCCACTGAGGTTCACCTGCCGCGGGCGACGAGAATTACCCGTGAAGGATTGAAACATGGTTGCAGCAGGAGCTGCCTGGTGTGGAAATGGTCAAGCTAGATAAAATAAACCCTCTAGATGCAGAGAAAGAGATCAATCAACGCAAGCCCGCATCACTGTCGCGGAGGAAAGACGAAAGGTGAAGAACTATGACATCGCCGTCGCTGTCCGGGTGCTGATACGGGAGAGCATGGCGGGCTTATCGGACTTGTGTGCACGGACCACCCCTCTACGAGGCCTGTATGTACTTTCCTCTCTATTGCCACTGGAACATTCTGGTTTTTAAGCTGAGGTGAGCATAGTCTCTAGGTAGGATGTATAGGTAGACAGTGAATATACGAGCAAAATATATAAAACTTACCTATATGCTCTTCAAGTAAAAGAAAAGAAAAACACTATATGGAGAAAAGATATATATGCCAACAAACAAATTCCTAAAAAGACGATAGACTGCTTAATCTTTTTTTTGTAATCTGATATTTATACTTGTCAAAATAGTACAAAATTACTCCTGTCTCGATGCCAAATGGTACACGTCCACCGATGCATCGGGGTCCTCCGTGGTCTAAATCAAGTTGATGTTGTGGAGAGTATAATACATGGGATATATTCAACCAACGGAGAGAAGGTTGGTCAACAAAGCTGTTGAGTGATGCCCAGCGAAGGTGGTTGTGGATGGTATGCTGGGCCGCTGGCATAAAGATTAGGTGGCTTTCTCAAGTGCTTGGGCTGCTGCACACTCACATTCAGTTGAAAACACATAGACAATTCCCCGCTCTGCGGTTCCAGTCGTTTGGAATTTCTAGAAAAGGAACTTGCCGGGCGTGGGCGTAGATGTCTTGGGCGTTTGAGCCAGTTCTTGGTTCTTAATCTGCTCAGCCTGCTGAATCTGCGGGGCCGGCTTGGTCGGCTTGGTCTCAATCTTCTTGATATTCTCGGGGTACGGTTGTGCTAGTCGGGCCTCTTCGGCTTCAGCGGTCTCGGCCCACTTCTCCAAATAGTCTTTGCCCTCAAATCCTCTGATCACAGTAATCCGTCGGCCATTTCTCTCGATATCTTGAACGTAGTTCGAAGGTGTCCTGCGCATGTGTTTTGTGACGAAGGGACCGAGCTATAGCCATGTTAGCAGACCCGACACTGCAGCCAACTGGTGTCAAATGGGATTGGATGCTCACCAAGAATGGCTCCTTCGCAGTCTCGGGGGTGTAGCGTCTCCCAGGAATTTCGAGGTTTTCCGCGGGCATATAAACACGGTGCTTTGACATATCGGGCCTGTATGTGCCTCTCTTGTCGAAGTGACCCATCGAGCCGGTCCGGTTTCCCTTGTAGTAGCCACCATTGACCTGCTTGGTAGTCAGGCGCAAACGCACCATCATTGGCTGCGTGGGTTTGAACATTATGGCGACAGTTCTGTAGCCTTGAAATTGGAACAGAAGGGGGATAGAGCGAGTCGAGTTGTCCCGGAGGGAGTTGGGAGACAAAACTCGACGAATGAACGGGTCGCGCTAATCTCCGCGCCGAGAACTTTTTTTTCTGCCGGAAAAAAAGTTCAACACCATCTACACCCCTCTTGAAAGCAACCATCAGATCATTTGGTACTTTTTTAGTCTGGATCTGAAGCTTCTTTCTTAGTCAAGAATTTGATTTCTTGGCTCATACGCCAAAATGCCTCGCAGCCAGACCCAGAAGCAGGGTCCGAAAGACCGCTCAACGCAGAAAGCAGCGCCGAAGCGGAAAAGCACCAGGGCGCTGAATGCACTGTCTATTGCAGAGAAAACAGTTCACACTAAATTGGGCGTTAAGCGCAGTCGTCTTGGAGCCTACGATGATGGCACCTTCAACCGCAAAAGAAACACCGGCGGCGATGACGACGAGAACGATGAGGAGGATACCACCGCCCACTACAAACGCCGCAGAACTGAGGACACTGGGAGCCTTGATGGTGGTAGCGACAGTGAGGGACACGAATGGACACTCGGGCAAGTGAACAGCGACAACGACAGTGAATTAGACAGCGACGAAGCTCTCGGTGAGAGCGACGAAGAGCGATTCGAAGGCTTCACCTTCCGTGCATCCAAGTCCAAATCCCAGCCAAAAAAAGCGGCACCCAAGCCAAAGAAGCCTACAGAGATCAGCCTGTCTGAGGATGTCGACGAATCGGACGAGGAATCTGACGGTGAAGACGACGAGGACGATGACCTGGGAGAAGATGCTGTTGACCTGGCGACCGCCTGGGATATGAATGTAGCGGCTGAGGAGGAGGAGGCCCGGGAAGCAGCTGCGAAATCCAAGCGGGCTGCGAAATATTATAGCGACGAGGATTCTGGGTCAGAAGGGGACAGTGAAAGCGATGCCAGTGACGATGACCTTTCTATCTCGGATGACGATGCCGATGCGGATCCGCACGGACTTTCGAAACTACAAGAATTTGTCCAGTCAATGGAGACCGAAAAACCTACGAAACGCGGTCAAAAGTCACAAGAACAAGCCAAGCCCTCGGAATATGGCTTGACATCCGCCAACAAATTGACTATCGCCGATCTCTTACCCTCAATCACGGACTCTCGCCTCAAGAACTCTCTTAAGCATATCGAATCTGTTGTCCAGGCATCAAAATCGGGCATCCCAGGCAAGCTAGATGCTCCTCTGGCAAAACGCCAACAGGACCGACTTGATCGGGCTGCTGCCTACGAGAAGAGCAAGGAGACTTTGAACCGATGGCTCGAAACTGTCAAAGCCAATCGCAGAGCCGAACACATTTCCTTCCCGCTACGTGATCCCGATGCTGAGCAGACTCATCGCTTGGAATCTGCCAAGCCCCAGACAGACCTTGAAAACGTCATCCAGGACATTCTTGTGGAGAGTGGACTGGCTGAGGCTCAAGGCAAGTCAGCCGAAGACCAGATCCAGAGTTTCGAAGAATTACAGACCCGCAATCTTCCTATTGAGGAGATCCAGGCTCGGCGTGCGGAACTCCGCAAGCGACGTGATCTGCTTTTCCGAGAGGAAGTGCGCGCCAAGCGTATTAAGAAGATCAAGAGCAAGGCTTATCGCCGTGTTCACCGCAAAGAGCGCGAAAAGTTGGAGAGACAGGAGCACGATGCACTCATGGAAGCCGGTGTAGATATGGACGACATGGACCAGGAGAAGAAGGAGCGTATGAGAGCGGAAGCTCGCATGGGCTCCAAGCATCGTGAAAGCAAATGGGCTAAGGGCTTGAAACAGACCGGTCGCACTGCCTGGGACGAGGAAGCTCGCAACAGTGCAGCCGACCTAGCCCAAAGAGAAGAGGAGCTTCGGAAGAGAATCGAAGGCAAGCGTGTTTCCAATGGAGACGATGACTACTTGGGCTCTTCAAGCTCCGAGTCAGAAGATGAGGACCCTTGGAATGAGGAGGGTTCTGATATGGAAAGACAGAGGATCCAGAAGAAGCTCAAGGCTCTCGAGGGCGGTGATGATGCCGGTGTCGTAAAGGGGCGCCATGCTGACCTTTTCGAAATGAAATTCATGAAAAACGCCGACGCCGCTCGCAAAGAACAGAATGATGCCGAGCTTCGTCAAATCAATCGTGAACTCAACGGAGAGGAGGCTTTATCTGAGGCAGAGTCAGAGGTCGGTCGACGAAAGTTCGGTCAATCAAAGAAGACCGACCCCAAACCTCGTGCAAAGCAGTTGCCCAAGAATGAATTTGAAGAGAGGCTGGATTCTGATGATGAAGATGCACAGATGGCAGGAGCAGACGATGATGTCGACATTGTTTTCAACGGTCCCACCAAGCACAAGTCAGGAGCTTCCAGCAACAAGAAGGTTTCGCAAGCTTCACGCGACTCTTCCAATCAGCAAAAGGATACCCCCACAGAGGAGGAGAACCCTTGGTTGATTCAGACAGAACGGACCAACCGTCGCCGAACTGGTCCAGATGCCCAAGAGAGCATTGACATTTCACTGGATGCTACCGTGCCCAAAGCTGCTCCGGCGAAGCAAGAGAGCAAGAAGCAAAATAAAGCCAAATCAATTCTTGCGAAGCAGCAATTCGAGGAGAACGACAGCGATGATGAGGAGAATGTGCCCGTCTTGCTTAAGAACCACGACCTCGTGAAGAGAGCCTTTGCCGGCGATGAGGTTGTCCAAGAATTCGAACAGGATAAGATGGATACCATTGAAGACGAAGGCGACAAGGTTGTGGACAACACACTCCCGGGCTGGGGCAGCTGGGCCGGTGAAGGCGTCAGCAAAAGACAGCAAAAGAAGCAAAAGCGAGACCTGACTATTGTGGCTGGTGTGAAGCCCGGGCAGCGCAAGGACGCAAAGCTCGATCGGGTCATTATCAACCAGAAGCGAATCCAGAAGGTAAGCCGGGTCTTATTTTCCTACATAAATAAATACGAACAACACACTAACTTTTCACTCTAGAACAAGAAGTACATGGCAAGCCAGTTGCCGCATGAGTTCGAGACTAAACAGCAGTACGAACGGTCCCTGCGGTTGCCCCTGGGCCCCGAGTGGTCTACGAAGGAAACCTTCCAGAGTGGCACTAAGCCTCGTGTCTTGATCAAGCAGGGCATCATCACGCCCATGTCGAAGCCCATGCAATGAATGTAAATATCTTGTTTCACTTCACATATGTCCAATGTCAGCACCTAATGCGACGCATTTTGCGGCGTCTTTTGAATTAAAAGCATTTTCATTCTTGCTGTCTGTACTCCAGGCCCTCCAGGTGCCCAGATGCACAATGTAGTTTCATATACAACATAGTTCATACCTCGCCCTTTCACCTCGCAACCATCTTTCCACATGGCCTTCGTGTCGTCAAATAGCATTATGACTATGTGTTCTTTGATTCGTATCTGTTACCTAGACAATGTAGATGAGACATAACGAGATGCTTCGCCTGGAATGTTCGGTTAATCTCTGACAACCCGTCAGAAGATGTCCCATGAATCCATAATAAGCAACTAAAATGTATCCATGGAATGCCCGATGATTCATTTTGTGTCATCTCCGAGGTCTTTCAACAATTTGGATCTGAATATGATCATGTTTTTTTTCCCTTTTCCGTCTTGTCATCAGTTCTACTCCACATAGAGGATCGCTTGGCAGTGCTGGAGTGCTGCCTGGATTCAACATCTTCAATTAACCTCCAAGCCTGGTGTTCACATCCATCTCCCAATTATTCCCATTATTATTCCCATTAACTGGGTAACTCGGTCCCATATAATCCAGTAAGTGATAATCGTGTGATTCCACATTCTTGGGAGTGGGGAAACAAGCTTAGCTCGACACCCGCGTGGACTTGGCTAGTTACGCCCCTACATTGCTGGCCCAGACACCTGTCATTCTTTTTGATAGAAACGGCGCATTTCTAATACCCTATGAGGATCGACAGTCTGTGGAATCTGTCCTTCAGACCATTCCCAACAAATTGGCCCGGTGTGTTGTCCTGATCTGGAGCTGAGTAGCCGATCTCCCGGGATCCATACTACATACTTGTATGTTTGCTTTTCTCTCAAGTCACTTGTCTACTTTTCTAGCTTCACGTTACCTTTTGGAACCCTCCCGAAGACGTTTGCTCTCAAGTGATTCATATTCAATTGGATTGGATTGAGTAATAACACACAGACTTCCTACTTCCAAGCTCCTTGTGTTTCACGCTCGTGACAAGAATCTGGCTTTGCATCATGGACTCACACTCAAAATGGAAGGCAACAACTTTGCTGACTTGGCTTCTAACTACAGAAATAGCCCACTGTCTGCCCCGTGTGAGAAATGAGATAGAAGCTTCTCTTACCGAACCTGCGAAAGCCTTTGAGACTCAATACCCACCTTCAAACCTTGAAAATAGGGTCATCAATCCCGTGTTCCACCCAGTAAGTCTCAGAGAAATATCTTGCATCGTATATAGCATAGTATTAACATTTTGGACTAGGTGTATCCGATAGCTTTGGAACAGGACGGCCATTCAACAGAGCAACCTTTTCCCCGGTTTGATATCGTCCAATTCGTTGACGGCTTGGAAGATTTGTTAGGTTCAGAAGGTGATACTACAGAACTAGCGTCAACTTCGAGCTCGACCTCGACCTCGACCTCGACTTTGACTTCGACTTTGACTTCGACTTTGACTTCGACTTTGACTTCGACTTTGACTTCGACTGTGACTGCAACTGTGGCTGCAACTGTGGTTGTAACAAAACAGTCTACTAACACAGGAAAATCGAATCCTATCCAAACGGCAACTTTGGTAAAGCATCCTGAAAATTCAGCGCCAGCTCCTACGCCTGAATTTTTGACAGACTTCCCTCACGCCAGACCAAATACTACTATCCCGCTAGGTAGCTCGAACCCGAATCGTTATAGCACTTTCACATATTCTAATGCTGAATAGAGCCCTTTCAAACATTCCCTCCACCTCCGTTTGGATCAGGTTATCCTATTCCCATGCACGGCCAAGATATCTTCCAGCCAGTTGCGACTGGTCCTGTCCCTGCTAACATCAAGTCTCGAGATGATCACCCTGTGCAAAACTATCATGTAAGGAAATCCCAAATGCGAGCATGATACGAATCAAATTTTCTGACGCTGCGGTATAGGCCAAGACTACTGACCCTATTGCGACGAATGGGTTCTATGCTGGTCTTTTCCTGGGATCTCAGACCAATGCTACCTTCGCTCAACCCTACTCTCTGGCATGGTCCAAGGGATGCGGCCCCCTGAAGAGCTGGGGTATGGCTGTCTCCCATGTCCAGCCTCACATGATCGCATACGGACCCGAGAACAACAATATCCCCGGAAAGCCAGTGCAGTACTACATCAACCCAGTCGGGCTTCAGCATATTATTTTCTCTGCAACTGAGCTTGACCAGTCTTCCGTCATGACTGTCGAAGAGCCAAAGGCATTCTCGGCCCACGCTGTGATCAAGCGCTCCGGAGGCTCGCCTCAGCAGATTACCTTCCCCATTGTGCAAGGCATGGGCTACACAACAGCTTTGTACAATGACCTGGAGCCCGTGATTGAAAGTGGTGTTTTCTTCCGCAAGGTCGTCAGCGCCGGTTCTCCCAGGCCCGGTATCTTCAAGTACCAGGTTTACCTTGAGGATGAAGTGGCCTGGCTTCTCTATGTCACTCCGGCTGATGGCAAGGATCCGAACTTTAAGCTAGTCTCAAATGCCTCTCTTCGCGGCCCAGCGCATTTCTCTGGTACTATCCAAGTCGCGAAGAACCCGGCAGGCACTTCTGGCGAGAAGTTCTATGATAACTCAGCTGGTGTCTACCCAGTGTCAGGAGAGGTCTCCGGCTCTGTTGCAGGTGACGTGGGCTTCTACTCGCTCTCTTGGACCAAGGCCGGACTTGATGTGAAAGGTACTCCACTGCTCATGTTCGCTCTACCACATCACGTCAACTCCTTCGACCGTGCCACCCAGGGGCGTATCACCGATATTTCCCTCCGCACCACAACAAAGGGCAAATCCGTTGCCGTGATTGGAGAATGCTGGACTATGTTCGAACACAACCTCCCTATAGATATGGGACTTGCCCCATGGTCAACCACCCATGGCAGCGCTCACGAACTCTCAGGCGCAGCCCGTCATGCCATTCTCGAGGCTGCGCCCCACGAGCTCCAGCAGAACATCTCAGACCAGACTGCTCTCAGCAGCATGTACTACAGCGGGAAGGGGTTAAGCAAGTTCGCAACCCTAGTATACACGGTCAACCAGCTCGGCAACAACGTCGATCTAGCAACAGATGCCTTCCAACAGCTCAAGAAGGCCTTTGATCTATTCGTGCAGAATAATCAGGAACACCCGCTTGCTTACGATTCTGTCTGGAAGGGCGTTGTCTCGACTGCCGGTTACAACGGGGATCTGAACCAGGATTTCGGAAATACCGCGTACAACGACCACCACTTCCACTATGGCTACTTCGTGCAAGCAGCTGCCATCATTGGCTCTCTTGATCCCAGCTGGTTGGCCGCGAACAAAGAGTGGGTCAACATGCTTGTTCGTGACGCTGGTAACTCCGTTGATGATCCCTACTTCCCATTCTCGCGCTCGTTTGATTGGTATAACGGACACTCCTGGGCGAAGGGTTTGTTCGAGTCTTTCGATGGCAAGGATCAGGAATCTACCTCAGAAGATACCATGTTCGCTTATGCGATCAAGGTGTGGGGGAAGACAATCGGTGATGCTAGCATGGAAGCTCGTGGCAATTTGATGCTGGGCATCCTGGGCCGATCTCTTAATAACTACTTCTTGATGGAAGATGGCAATCCCAACCAGCCGGAAAACTTTATTGCGAACAGGGTCACTGGAATTGTAAGTACCGTCAGTCCATGTCTAACTCAAACTCGACACTAACAAACCAAAACAGCTCTTCGAGAACAAGGTCGACCACACTACTTACTTCGGTCCCAACCTGGAATTCATCCAAGGGTATGTATACCACCATCCCACTCATAACATTCCACTCTGAATATTGCTAACAAGTACCATAGTATCCACATGCTACCGCTGATGCCCCACACTCCCTACACACGACGAAAGGAGTTCGTGCGCCAGGAATGGGAGGCAATGTTCGCTGAAACTGCCTCAACCCCGGCCTCCAAGGTCGATGGCGGATGGAAGGGCGTGCTATACGCCAACCTAGCCCTCATCGATCCCAAATCGTCGTGGGAATTCTTTGCCCAGCCGAATTTCAACTACAGCTGGATCGATGGCGGTGCTACGCGTACTTGGTACCTGGCATTTGCTGCTGGTGAGTTTCTTGTGTGGATTATGATGTCTTTCTGGAAACTAACAAATATACCAGGTCTTGGTGGTGCTCCTTGAGGTGGATTTGAATCTTTTTTCTTGATGATATGGAGTTGGGGGTTCATTTGCTTTCTTCATGTTTATGTCTTTCATGTCTTCTGGCCTTATGATTTGACGGTTTCATGTGTATTTGCTCTTAAGTCTGTTTCTCGGTGGATCTTGCTGTGGTGGTTCAGAGAGTTTGTAGCTATTCCTGTGCCGCGCGTATATATATAGAACAACATAACACTTATACGATATGATTCCCACTAGATCATACGTGGCAATTCTCGGTTGCCAGTCCTTTCTCTCTACGTCTTTATCTTAGCCCTTGGCAACTATATATATATATCCATGGCCACAAAGGAATCTGACGGCATGTGACGGACTGTGTGCTAACGAATGAGAGCCTCGCCTTTAAGGTTCCACTAGTGCCAAAGTACAAATTGGACTTATAAAGGCGTAGCTTCCCTCCCATAGTTTTCTATCCATCTTCTGTTTCAATTTGGGTTTCAAATCACGAACGAACAAGCTCAACAATGCCGGCCGAATCCATCCGAACCGAACGAAAAGGATCTGCTAGGAAGCCCATCCAGAAGGCAACTGTGGTTAAAAGTGCCCGCGAGAACCAGAGTAATCCCACATCTACTGTCGATAAAAAGATCCTAGATAGAATTCAAAAGTGTCTCGACCGCGCCTATCATGTCAACACAACAGAGTTAGAAGCCAAAGCCGCCCTCTTTCTATCGCAAAAGCTCATGAATCAACACAACGTGAGCCAAGCAGATCTCATGGCCATCGATAATAATAGCAGTAAGGCACATTTCGGCGGACGGAGCATCGTGTCTATTACAAAAATCGCAGGCTCATCTAGAAAGGTTATGAAAGAGGCTTTTGTTGGGAAAGTTGCAAGAGCAATGTGCACCTTTTTTGACTGCAAGCACTTTTCAACCGATTATAGCACACACGTGGACTGGACCTTTTTCGGAATTGCTAGTAATACTGCTGCAGCAGCGATGTCGTTTGAAATGGCCCACAATAACATCTTGGAGTGGGCTTGTGCCTACAAAGGGGGCACGCCCACATTCAGTTATCGCCTCGGTGCAGCAGATGGGCTTGTGGCCATGGCCAATCGGGAGAAGAAAAGAGAGCTTCGCCATGTGCGGCGCAAAGAGCTGGATTTTATTGCGGCTAAGGAGCTGGAGGATGCAAAGGAACGTCAATCACAACTTGACAGGCTACGTCTTCTGCCAGCTCCCTTGACCGATACCAACATATCATCCTTATCATCCTCTGATAGCGCTCAGGATTCCATGAATCCAGATTCTAACATGGCCGACTTCGATTCCGACTCCGATAACGAGCTCGAGGAAGGAGATGGCTTTGGTATCAAGGCCGACTTCAACACGGACGATGCGCAAGTCATAGACTTATGCGACGACATAGAAGAAAGTATCCAAGGTTTTCTAAAACGGGAGCCAGCCAAGCCATCCAATCCCTTCGATATTCCCAAATTCAAAACGGAGACAGAAACCAGTATCAAAACAGAGCCTAAGCCGCAGTCGATGCCTGTATCATCTCCGTGGAAATCTGGGATGCAACTTGTTCAGTTCCGGGCAACAGCGGAGCAGGTTGCGGATGATTATTTGAAGGAACACAAGATCAAGCTACGCAGGGGTAGGAAACGCACATCGACCATTCGAGATCTAAATGCGTATCGCCGGGGCCAGAAGGATAGTTCAAAGATCGAGTTTCATCGACTAGAGCGAGATTAAGATACTCTCGCCCCGTAAATACATGGGCCTTCGTCCAGATGAAGAATTTTAGATCTGAATGCTTAGTTTGACAATCTGTTACATATAAAGTATTAGCATGTGGAGTGTGGTTTTAAAGATCAAAACGGCCTGATCAAAAGAATATCATCCGCACGTGACGTGGAGATGACTAAGATTTTAGTAAATATCCTGAATGAGTACCTACCTACTGGCATGGGAGTTATCGCTTCCTTTGATTAAGAAATAATTCATAATTTATCTCTCAATATCACGCCGGTTTTATTCACCACACTCCTAGATCGTCTTCTGAGAGGAAATCTAGACTAATATTGTATAGCTTTAGTATTCTGCAGTCAGGCACCGGCACGTGACAGAACCCGCCTTCCCTTTCCGGATAAGGTACTATAAATTCAAGACAAACACAAGCTTTTCAACAATACCGGCTAGTGGCTGAGTTGGATTCCTCCGGACTAAACATGCTGGTAATACTGGCGGCCGGCGCTCGATCCTCTCAGTCCACGCTCTAAAAATACATTAAAATGTATTATGCATCCCAACCATTAGGTTGGGCGTGGCCTAGGCATAGGTACTAGCATGGGATTGTCCTAGCCCCATAGGCTTATCGTCTATGGGTGCCCCCGGCCCATGGGTGCCACCTTTTTTTCAATTCTTAATTCTCAACATATATATATACTATCTCTCTTATTGTATTTTGACTTCGATCTTTTTCCTAGGTAGTTACATACAAGTCGAATTATATGATTGCAGGCATATGTCAGACATCAACACGTGACACTGAGCCACCTTTCCTTCTTTTTCAAAGTATATGCATATATATCTAGGTCTATAGATTTAGGAAGCTTAAACTGGGGTCCAGTAGTAGATCTACAATTGCCCAGCACCATACCATACCCAGAACCCACCCCGCTTAAAGCATTGCCACCAGAGCCTCTTCACATATACCACCACCACATAAACCACCACTCTATACCCCAGAAACAGGAAGCTCCAAATCCACGACCCAAGGCGCATTCCTCGCCTCATAGTTAACAGTCATAATACTCCCATTAACAAAAAGCGTTTCCTCGCCAACCCGCAACGGCCGCTGCGCCCCATCACTAACATCACAAAACGCACCCCGATTCTCCAACATCTCCTCCATATCCCTCGGCACATCTTCAAGCCTAATACCACCAGCAGCCCCATCATCCCACACCCCACGCTGCGCACCCCACGCCTCATGGATATGACCGAAGAGGTACAGACGCGGTTTTGCGCGGCGCGCCGCGCGGAGGAGATTCTCACAGCCGACATTCAGATCAGGCGGGACCTGGTCCAGGACACCGGCCGGCGGGCCGTGGGTTAGCATGATGTCGATGGCTGGGTAATCGGGGACTGGGTTCTGCGGCTGTGGGAGGCCCGCGGGGGCGGGGTTGTATCTGTCTTCGTTACGGTCATATGCGAAGGCCCAATTGTAGAATTCTGGCTGGTAGGGCGAAGCGTAGACGGTGAATTTTGCACCTGTTGACAGGGTGAAGGAGTGGATTCCTTCTTCTAGGTATATTATTCCTGCGTTTCTAGCAGCCTCGCTTGTCCAGAGGGATTTAATAGAGCGGGCGTAGGCTTTTAGGGAGTCTGTATTTGGGGTTTTGGGTGTAGAGCTGCGTAGGGTGTCTTGGATGTTATCGTCTGAGAGCAGGATGGATTCCTCGCCCAGTTGCTCTGGGCGTTGGTGGCGGGTGTAGCCGAAAGAGGTGAAGTATTCTTCGTCGAGGGTTATGTCGTGGTTTCCTGCTATTACGAGCTTGAGCTCGGCGTCGGCGTCGGCGAGCATGGAGATCATTGCTTCGTATTCGACGCGGTACCCCACTTTTGTTAGGTCGCCGGCGTGGAGGAGGATGTTTGCTTTTGGGAGAGGGTAGCGATAGGCATGATCTGTTTTTTGTGGTGGGTGTGGTGTGCTGGTATGGGTGTCTGATATCATGCAGATGCGGGTTTTGATGGTCGCCATGTTGGCGGTGTTTGGTGGTGTTGGTGATCGAGGGAAGGTTGGGCTGTGGGGAGAGAGGGGAGATGGGCCGATAAGCATTGAGCTTGGACCGGAGATGTTTTTCCCTCCAACGAATATTTGTACTTTATGAAAAGAGCATTGATTAGTTTTAATAACGGATACAAATTGAAATATGTCCCTTCAACTCAAGTTATACTACGGTAATTCCGAGATGGGTGTAGATAGTACCTGATTCCAGGCCGCTGTATCCAACCGTTGTGTACTACGCAATTTTTAAAAAAAACGCAATGAATTACCAAGAAGACATGAAACTAGGAACAATTCCCATGGATTTGACGGCTCAGAGCTCTACAGACAAATTGCATCCTGTGGATGCTCCGATCATGACATAGCTGAAACTCCGATCCACCCGTTGCAACAACCGAATATTTTATTTTTTCGTTTACTTGCGGATAGCCTTCTGGTAGAAAGCAAGCTCCTCACCCTCCAGAATGTAACCGTCACAGCGGCCGGACTGGCCGGGGCGCGAGGCGACAACGGCGAACAGACGACCGGACTCGAACTGGCGCTCGATAGCAGACTCAGTCTTACCGGAGTCGGCGAAGCGGGCAGCCTGCTTCTTGGCGACGGAGGCGGACTTCTTCTCCTCCTCGGCACCCTCGGTCTTCTGCTGGCGTCTACGGCCGATGGGCTGGCCGTAGTGGGCCTCGTACCACTGACGGAAGGGGGCAGCGTCAATCTGGACAACGGCCGACTTGGTCAGGGTGTTTGTGCGGACCAGCTCGTTGTTGGAGGGGTGGAAGGACACTCCAATGACACGGGTCTTGCGGGAGATACCCTCGGAGCCCCACGAGAAGTTACCGGACTCAAGACGGAGACCACGGAACTTCTGGTTGCCACCACGGGTGCGGACAAGGTGGATGCGCTTGGTGCCAATACGGGTGTTGGCGGGCTGACGACCCTTCTCGAAGGCTCTGTAGGACAAAGAGATGTAAGAAACTGTGCATAACTTGTATATATCGAATCTTCTTCTTTTTTCTTCTTTCTCTTCTTCTTTTCATTCCAAAAAAAGAAACATTCAATCTCATGCTGGGTTGATAGAATCGTACCTCTTCTTGCGGTAGTGAGCGCGCTTGGCACCAGTGGCGCTGCGCTTGTGGCGAGAATCCCGAGAAATACCCATGTTTGCGATTGATGGAGGGGTCTAAGTCGACGGAGACAAAGTTAGATGTTGTTGATTGTGCGGACCTTCAAACAAGTTTCTTTCTTCCTTTCAATCCTTCTGTTTCGTCGCGAGCAACCGTATCAAATCAATTTTCGAATATCCAGATAGTCGGGCGACAGTCGTAGCGAAGTGGTTGAAGACCGTTCAATATGTTGAAAAAGCGAGACAGGATCGAATGGTTGATGTGGAGGAATTGAATACCGACGATCGAAATTGTTGGGCGCAGCGAACGAAACAGAATTTTTCGAAAGAAACCTTGCAGGAGTTGAGATAGCCGGATAACTCACCTCTAAATGTGCAGCCCTTCACCAGAAACACAAATTAGTTGTCGTAGGGTTGTCGTGGGAGTTTGAGGTCGTGGAGTCGCTGAATTTCGCAGGGCGCACTGTGTCGCTCGCTTGTGTAGTGCCCTAACTGACACTAGGCCAAATTGGGACTAGTGGCCCCAGTCACTGGATCTGGTCAGGTGATGTCTATCTACTGACTCAGCATACAGTCACGTGCGGTAATATTTACCAATGATCTGGAAGGGGCGATGAAACCCGAGCTGATCAAGTCATTTACATGTCAACGTTGTACAACATGGAACTTTCAATTGTCTTTCTTCCAGTTCCCTGCAATTCCGAAATTTATAAATTATAAACATGTAAATGGTCATTTTTTTTCTCTGCCACTAATTGCCACCATTTGACAATGCTACCTTCTAGTGGCGCTTGCCATTCTTCTTCACCTTCTGCTCCTTCACAAACTCCTTAATGCGCGCAAACGAACCATACCCCTCAACAAAGCACGACGCAATCCACTTGCACCACAAACCCGACAGAACAGGCACATTCAAAGGCTTCAACATCGTCACAGCCAGCGCGGTAGTCTCAATGATATGAATAGCCACGACGTAGGGCTGGATAATGTAGACGAAACGCGGAAGCCAGGGAATACGCTGGAGCCCCAAGTTCTCGTAGAGTGCCGAGCCGGGGCGCAGACTGCTGCGCATGAAGCAGGTGACATAGAGCAGGAAACACAGCCCAAAGATCACGGCGTGCAAACCGCGCGGGGCACGGTACTCTGTGAGTGTAAACTCGCTGCGACCCAGGCGTTTTAGGCTCTCCTTGTGCATGGCGACCATTCGGCCGCGTGCCTCCGAGTAATCCTTCATCACGGGGTCGATGGGGATGCTGTAGCGGGTACCGTTGGCGGTGATTATGACGTTTGAGGTGGTGATTTCTTCCATCTGGGCATTTTTGGCTTGGCTGGAGGTGATACCGCAATAAGCTTGTAGGAATAGTATGAGAGATTCTTGGTGGTCGGCATTCATGTGCTTGATGATGAAGTCTTTGGACGCCATGGTGACGGTATGGAGAGGGGTGCAAGGTGTATAGTGTCGGTTGTGCTGAATGTGTGCGAAACAGGTGAGACTGTTGGTATTTGAACTGAGTACAGAGTACAAAATACGATGTAAGAGTAACACACCGAGTTGTAGGAATCAGTGCCAAGACCGGGGCCTCGGCTTCGTACTTTCCGCATGTCCTGATTTTACACTATGTACATAGTACAGTCTCACAGCAAAAGTTTTAACAACACCCTGGCCCCACATAGATACCGCCTTCCTATTTAACCTACACCGCCATACGATAGTGACGCGGTATACAATATAGGCTCTATATAGCGCGTATATCTCGCGTTTCCCCCCTAATTTATCACTTTCCTTCTTTATATATACTTCTTACTCTCTTCTCTCTTACTATACCTGCTCGCTCAGAACTTACTCCAGCCCTTCGTGAAAGGATCTGTGAGCTACACTCTGCGGTTCATTGGGGGTATAGGCGGATACACCAGAGATATCCGTGGATTTCTATCTCAACAATTCGCTATACGATCAAGAAAGAATATAAAAGACGTGATGGCGTTTCGAAGCCGCGTTCTGGTCGACCTAAAAAGCTGAATACTACCGATAAAGTACGTCTTCTTGATGTTATTTCGGAGAATCCGCGGGTAACCCACGAAGATCTGCTTGCTGAGGTCTCTTATAAAGTCAAAATCGGCTCGATAAGACGCCTCTTGAATGCTGAGAACCTCCGAAAATAGAGGTGTAGCTGGCGTCCCTACCTTACGGAGGAACACGCGCTAAAACGTCTCCGCTGGGCTGTCCGATATCGTCACTTTACAAAGGAGGATTGGGCCCGAGTTTTCTGGTCTGATAAATATACGGTTGAACGTAGGATTGGTATCTGTCGAGAATAGACATTTATTCGCCCGAAAGACCAGCCGAAAGAAGGACAATGTCAAGGATTACCACACCGAGGGAAGCAAGTAAAGCAGATATTTTGGGCTGCTTTTTCAGGGGCTACACGTCGAATAGGCCTTATCCCGCTGTTTGGGGACCCTGAAGCTGAGCGTACGGGTATTACGGGCCTTATTATTGAAGAGTTATACCGGCAGATCCTACCTACCTTAGTGTCGAATGAAGGGGCTATTTTTCAGCACGATAATGCACCTATATATACTGCGCGCGTTGTTCGGGATGCTTTACGTGAGATAAATATTGAAGTTATAGAATGGCCACCACACTCGCCTGATTTGAACCCAATTGAAAACCTCTGGGCGTTGTTAAAAGCTAAGATATACGAGCTTCGACCTGACCTTATTTATATAGGGAATAATGATACGACAAAGGAGATACTGGTAGCGACAGCGCAGCAGGTATAGGATGAATTAGAGCTACGGTACTTAGAGCATCTCTCTGAGACAATGCCACACCGGGTGGAAGCTATCATTGAGAGCCAGGGGTGGTATACAGCATATTAGATTCCATAGTATGAATTTATAGAGGTTTTAGACCGGCAGTAACTTATATAATCAAGGGGGTGTGGGGCTAGGCGTTGTTAACACTTTTGCGTAGTCACTGTATATACACTAGTACTCCACTATTGATTCTATACTGTTGCACTGTGCACGATGCAAAGAAAATTGATTTCAACTCCATTCAATTGCCCAAGGATAATACATAGCAGTATACACTCCAGTGTATTGCACTGCACGCCATGAAAAAAACCAGTACACAAAAGCGAAAAAGATCCCGAACAAAAGGATATTAAATCAAAAACATGGCTCTATGAAAAAAGCATCAAAACAAAAGCATCGAAAAAAACGGATCACTCGTGACGACGTTGGATCTTCGTGATAGGATAGGATGGGTGATCAAGCCCTGTTGTTGATAAAACGCGATCAACTCCTAATTCGGTCTTTGAGCAGACATTCTTCAAAGGGTCTTGGGGGAGGGATTGCATGCCTCAGTTATTACTTACATGAGAGCTAGGGTGAGGTCACCATGGATGCGTGCCTTGAGCTCGACCTCGATTTCCAGATTCAGTTCCAATCTCAACTTCATGCCTTCCTCGTCCAGCATGGATTTCTCTTCCTTCTGGAGGACGTCCATGCCGCCGCTGGGCTTGAAGCTTGAGTTTTCATTCGAGTAGGGCTGTATGGCTTCATCGTCGGAATATTCGTAGTCGTCTTCGTCATATTCAGATCCGTCTGTGTAGTCGTCGTCGTCGTATTGGACGGGTTGTTTTTGTTTCTGCAGTGGTTTCTTCTGAAGTTGTTTGTTCTTCTGGGTCTTGGTTTGTGGTACTTCGTCCTCAGATTCGTCGGTGTAGTCATCGGCGCTGTCATAGTCTTCTCCAGAGGAGAGGTCCTCTTGCACGGGGAGCTTCTTGGGCTGGAGCTTCTTGGGCTGGAGCTTCTTGGGTTGCTCTTTGGTCTTTTCAACGGTCGCCATGATGGATGTGATGGATGTGATAGGACTAAATTATAGAGTATAGATGTGGGAATAGAATGATTTCAAAAGAGGAAAAAAATGTATAAAAGTAGATGGATATAACATCAAAACCAAAAGGAAAGAAAGGATATGATATTGGAAAAACGGCACAGACATCATTATCAAGTAGGGCCCATGACGTTGGGGGCTGTTCCTCGTCATTGTCAGATTGAAGAATTGGGCCAGGGGGCCGTGTCCACAGTGGAAAGTCGACGGTAAATGCTCGGAAAACTCCCAAGTGGCCAACTGGATATCCGCCTCATCCTCGTACAATCCGTGGAAACAATAGCAGACTCGTGCTCTGAACCAATGGTAAAGAGAAAAAAAAACCAGCGAAAAAACCAGGAACAGGTAAAATGGCCCTATGGATATATGAAGCTCATTGGTTGAAAATGGGATACTCTCATATACTTGAAGATCTTTTGACGTCGAGTGGCGTCATATTCCTTTTTTTATATTCCCTGTCTTCTGTGTCTTCTGTCTGTCGTCTAAATTAATTTGAAAGTGGAGATTAAATGTGTAGTCAATGCACTAAATTCGCCGAAGGCACATTTGATTGGTGAGACTATGCCACTCCATTAATCCTTGTCCCTCGAACGTCATACCCTCTTAGTGGACAGGACTGGATCAGAAAGGGCCCAACATATCTGACGAACCACAATAATCTTCCCATCTGACGTCGGAGGCGGCTAGATTTTATTTAGGCCCGGTTTTATCAGGTGGCGCCTCTTATGATATAAACAGTTGCACGAGTTCATTTACAATCTACATCATTGCCTACTATACGCACGATTACATAGTACTTCATTTATCCCACCTTGTGACGCTTGGTCCTTGACATCTCCTGTTCAAATCAATTCATATTCCCCTCATTCCCCCCATTGAAACAATCTTTCTTCTTCTTTCACTATGGCCGATCAAGAACAACTTCCCACACCTAATCCCGACTCAACACCCACAACCCCCAACAAACCCAAACGTGCCCCTCCCAAGCTAGGCAAGAAGTCACCCGCCAAGCAAGAACAAACCCCTCCCTCCTCCGAACAAGACCACGAAGACAAGCCCGAAGACAAACCCGAAGAGCCTGAACCCGTCAAACAACAAGAACCGGACTCCGAGCCCGAACAAGAAGCCGAGGAATCAGAACCAGAACCAGAACCAGAACCCAAGCCCGAACGTCGTCGCCGCAGACCCCGTCCCCGCCCCCAAGAATCAGACACCGAATCCATCCCCCGCGAAATGGAGCCCGAACCACAACCCCGCCAGCGCCGCGTCCGCCGCCAGCGCCGCCCAGAGCAACAACAAAACGGTCCGCTCGGCGGTCTTCCCGGCGTCGGCGGCACCGACCAGGCCGGCCAGCTCGTGCAGAATACAGCCGGTAATGCCCTGAACGGCGTGACTGGTAGCGCGGGCAAGGCTGTTGGAGGGATCCTCAATGGCGGCGAGGAGAAGAAGGAAGATGATGGCGGTCGTGATGAGCAGCTTCGTCTGCGGCTGGACTTGAATCTGGATATTGAGGTTCAGCTCAAGGCGAAGATTCATGGTGATTTGACGATTGGTTTGCTGTTAGTATCTCCCTTTCTGTTCTAACCCTAGCCGCCTACCTACCTACCGGGGGTTCTAACTCAATACTGTTGGTGCATTTCACTGACTGACATTCTAGTAATTAATCTTTGCCTGAAGCAAATAGAATGGAGTGTATATATATATATATCTGCTCTATCTTCAACATCTGGACCCCGTTGGACGGGGTAATGGGTGTGTCTACGGATACCTGAAATGACTTGTTTATGGGTTATGTTACGGTGATGCACGATGCATGGATTGTTTTTTATTTTTTTTATTTTTCATGTCTTATTTCCTTTTTGTCTTTTGGTTTTGTCTGCAGCTAGGCCTATCTCCCTAGATCTGGCCTCGGACTGTGGTGTCTTGCGGTGTACAGTACTTAAGCCTTTCTTATAAAGTATCTGAGTCTGGGAAATGGAATAATGAACTAGGCTTTTGTGCTTGTTTTTCTTTGATGCGGTGTAAATTGAAAGTAAAAGATCAAGGCAACATGGAAAGAGAATTCCCTAGACCTTACACAGATTATTGACTCTTAGACGTCATGCAGGCGTGCATCTTTTCTTAGAAATCTTAAGAAAGTCGGACAGGTGTAACTGTTTCTCATATTGGGGTGAATCCATTAGAATGAAATATACATATGTATGCGTTAAACACTCTAGACAATCATCTAGTCATCTATCATTTGTGCAACAAAGAAACCAACCCAACGGAGAACCATGCCAAAAGAAAACATAAACACAAGAAATCACCACAGCCAGACCGAGAAAAGAGTAGGTAATACACCCTAACACAAGATGAGTCGTACATTTCATATATCTCTTTTCTTTTGCATCGTATATAAACCGATCTAAGCCCAAAAAAACAAACAGCCACCTCTTTAAAGCGTCACGAGACCACCCATCATAGATCCTACAATCCCGCAACATACATCAGTCCATATCCAAGTGTGACAATCACCACAAAGGACATGAGACTGGCCGGGATGCCGCGGGTGAGGAAATGGCGGACTTGGAGGTATCGCTGGCCTGTAGTGGGTACTTCGGTCATGATAGCAGCTAAGGACAGGTTAGCAGAGAGTTCATTCCATGTAAGTGGGCTAGAGGAAACATACTCATATTAGGGAACCCACTTGTTGGCAATGCCATCGCAACAGAGCACATCAATGCACTGGCCATGACCAACAAGTTGGGGTGAGGGTCTTCCATGCTAACGCCGATCTGGCGGACAAGCGGCAGGATGATAAGGGCTGCGACGGTGTGCGAGATGAAGGTTGCCATGACGAGGATGAGAGAACAGAAGACTATGAGGACACCGTAGAGACTGAGATGCTCGACGCGGGCGGTGATTCCAATCGCGATTGTTTGCAGCAAGCCTGATGAGGTCACGGCCTTGCCAAGACACAGACCACCGGCGGCGAGGATGATGATCGTCCAGAGGAAGTTGTTGAAGTCCTCTTTGTTGAGGATTCCGGTGCCGAAGAAGAGGACGAGAGGGATGATGGCGATGACACCCATGTCACCGAATATGTGCTCGAGCTGGTGGCTGACGCACCAGAGGATGATCGTTACGATGGTGACAATGCTGACGAAGTACTGCATGCCGGTCCAGCGGTCCTTGACGGGGCGGAAGGGCATCACGGTTGTGTTGCGGCCGGGACGGAATGTCACCAGCAGCAGAGCCCAAATGAGGAGAATGGAGATGATACAGACGGGCAGTGCGATGAAGAACCATGTGCCCCAGCTGATGTTCGGGTTCATGTTCTGCAGGGCAATGATGTTCTGGGGGGAGGCAATTGGGGACGCTGCACCACCGACATTGGCAGCTAACGCGATACCCAGCACAAGTGCCTTGGCAAAGTCTGACTCGGGAGGCATATTACGTAGCAAAGGCTGGATGATCGAGTAGCAGAGCACGGGAGATGCAACATTACTGATCCACATGCTCAGGAACATGCTCACAAACATGTTGGTCAAGAGCACCACGGATGGCTTCGATCCAGCTTTGCTCAGCACGAACATGGCCATGCGCCGTGCGATATCGTACTTGGACAGCGCCGCTGCGATCGAGAAGCCACCTAGAAGCAGCATAATCACAGGAGTCCACATCGCCGAGAACACCTTGCCGACTGATTCCTTGGGTCCCAATCGAGTGGGAGGCTCCTCGTCTGACCGCATGATGCCTAGAGTCACAACCAGGAATGGGATAAGAAGCGAAGTGACAAACAGTGGAATAGCCTATCACTCGATGTTAGCATTCAATGTAAGCAAAAACAAATACAAACAGCATCGCATACCTCAGTAGCCCACAAAATACTAACGAGGACCAGCATAGCCAAGCAGTTCTGCTCCTCGGGAGTGTCCATAATCTTCACAGACAGCACTGCGCCGAAGATGGCGACGCTAAATATCAAAGTACCAAAGCTCAAGCTGCAGAGCCACAACGGGAACTGGAACCGACCAAGCGGCGTCGATACCTCCTTAGTAGGTATCTCATTCTTGTCACCCTGGCGACGTGCAGTGGCCGGGTCCTCATCGCCACCCAGGAGGGTCCGACGGATACCAACATTAGCGGCCTGCGCACGGCGTTCGATCTCGATCATCTCACGCCAGACAGTGTTCCGCTCCCAGACGACATGTTCACGCAGATGCAGACGCAGCTCGCGCCTGGCAAACTGCCTATTGTTTTTCGTGACGATGCTCGCGTACACACCCTCCACGTTCTCGATATGCCGATCGATTGCAGCCATGGTGCTTTCGGTGAAAGGTGGCGCGGGATGGACAACAGAGGCTAGATAGTCTCGGCGCAGGTTGCGGTACAGGGTTTTGTCGTACTTCTTCAGGGCCTTGGCGAAACCAGTCTTGTTCAGCTCGATGAAGGAGCGAAGTTCGCAGAGCGAGACGTAGGACTCGATCAGGCGCTTCTTCAGTGATATGCCGGTATTGTAAAGAGCGAGGAAGTCCTCGTCGTTGAGATACGACTCGTGCGGCTCTCGCGTGGTCGATTGTCCGAAGTAGGAAGAGTCTGCCAGATCCTCCGTGCCAGACTCGCCATCGGTCGACTGCATCAATCTCCGGCGCTGTGTGAGGTTCATCGGGGACCGGTCGTCGTCACTGTCGCCGCCTTCTCTTTCATCGTCCGCCATAGAGTCATTGCTCACACCACTAGACCGCCGGCGTGAAAGCAAGGTATTACCATTGCGGCGGGAGCTTGCCTTGATGATTGTCTCGCTCACGGGGTCCATATTAACACCGTCCGTCTCGGAAATATACACATCAGCATCTTTGATAAGCTCATCGACGAGTTGGAAAATCTCCGCCTCCTTCTTCTGATAGAAGGAACAGATCTTATTCATCTCGATATCAAGAGCCCGTTTAAAGACCGCATCTGGGTCACTCGGGTGAACACCGCCCAGCAACGGAGCAGACTCTACATCTGGGGCCGACGGACCCTCGACGCGATTGACCTGTTTCTCAAGGGTGTAGATCCTAGTTCACGAATGCAACGTTAGCACCATCCAATTATCCGACCCGGTCATAGCCACGCCTCGGTCCTGTGCAATGTGACACCAATTCCGATCCGGGAATCTGTATGTACACACTAACACAGCCACAAGGTCCCACGACTAAGCCATAAGCGAAACAACTTACAATTTCTTCAAATTGCTATACGCGATGTAATTGGAGCTCCATTCGGGCACAGCGTTAAACTGCACACTATGCGAGAACTTCATCTTGGCTTCGGAGTCCGGATTGACGTTCCCGTGCGATGCGTTATGAGCGCGACGTCGGAGAGCCTCAGCCCAGAACCTAAGACGAGAGCCCTGCGGGCGAGACTGCTCGAGCTCTAATCTCTCCTTCGATTCTCCGGCACCGATATCAAGGCCCGCAAATGGCTGCGAGGCTGCGGCAGGGTCAGACCGCCTAGTGCTTTCTTGGGATTGGTCTAAGCGAGCGCGGCCAGATGCGCTGGTGCTTGCGGTGTGGGAGGAAGGGCGGTAGTCGACGAGTTCAATGGATTCGTTGCGCACGGTAGGAGCCACCGTCGAGGGAGGAGGCCGGAGGGGAGTCGGCCTAGGTCATCCAAGGGGTGGAGAGAGAGACAAGGCCGAGCAGAATGTAGGAGTGGACTCTCTTGTGGTGGGGGGCGCGAAGAGGACCGAAAATCCGGGTCAGCTGGAGCTTAGGGTTGCACTGGTTATGGTCAAGTCGGCAATGATATATTGCGGGGCTCCGTTGATTAAGGCGTATCTTGTAGCTGGTTGGAATCTACCTCGAGACTGTAGATATGTAAAATATTGAACGTCTTGGAGTGTTTTTTTCCTTATCTGACTTCAGGAACAGTTGCGCTGCTCCAGGTCAGGGCTCAAGCTAAAATGCAATTAGGTAAGCGTGCTGTGAGGGCGGGGGCCTATCAGACAATGTTATATACAAAGCACTGGGAGAGCATACAGAACAAGGTTATATGGGGGTTGATGTATAGCAATTGATATATGCAAGGCATGCGAGTAAGTTTGTTTCAAGGCAGGTGGCCCCCAATAATAGAAAATGTACGGAGTAACACTAGGGAATAAGCGCCATGCCTATATAGGACAATGATATGTACGAAGTCATAAGCCACAATAAAAACTCCGCATAACAACAAGGGTCCAATTCGGAGAATTCAATAAATCCATGAAGAACAAATGTCAATTTTTTTTTTTTGACCAGACTATATAAATGTACATATGCAGAAGTGCTCAGAGATACAAGACAAACCCCAAAACCCAGATAGAAGAAATACAAGCCTCCAAGGCCAATTTAGCGACGAACGTTAGTATTCAAGTTCGCACGACCAGAGATACCAATCTTGTGCTGCTGGTCTCTCTTCTCCCAGACACCGCTACGACCCTCTGCAACGGCGACCACCTCGGCCGCAACACGGTTCGCAAACAGCGCATCGCGTCGCTTCTCCGACGCATCAATAATCCACTTGATCGCGGTACGGCGACGCTGGCGCAGAGTTAAGGGGTGGGGGATCTGCACGGCAGTACCACCACCAGCGATACCCTTCTGCTGACGAATTCGGAAAAGAGGTGCCACGGAGTCGACGACGAGAGTGAGGTAGAGGACGGGGTCGAGGGGAAGCTGGGAAGCTGGGGGAGCTCCAAGGAGACGGCGACGAGGGTTGATCTGGGGAGGGGAGGAAGTGCGGAGATGATCCAGAATAAGAGACATGTTCTAGTATTCGTTAGTTAGACAATTTTCTTACTCAAACATAAACGGGAAAAGAAAACCATACCTTCTGCGCCTTGGTCAATTTCCCACTTTCCATCATCATCTTAGTGAACTGATCCTGCATGGTATCGTAACGCTTGCGGAAGTTCAATGTCTTCAAGTCCTCCGGGACAACAGGCGCATCGAACTTAAGCCCAGGGTTCTCCTCAAGAGCCTGACCCTGCACCTGCTCAATCATGCTAGCAAGAGCAGCAGCAGCCTCGTCACTAGCACCCTCGAGTCCAGGCATACTCGAAATAATGTCGGACTCATTGTTAGGCTGAACGCCATGCAGATCGTTCATAAGGCTCCTGGCGGAAGTCGAGAACGAGCGCGAGCCACCGGACTTCTTCAATGCGTCCCGCATAACCTTCGGCATGTGCTTCATGGCATCCTTATCGCGGCTGAGGATCTGTTCCAAACAGTTAACAACCATATCCAGCGATATCTGCTTTCCGGCAAGATCTAGCAGGCGGATTATGCATTCTTCCTCACCTCCTCAACAGGTGATCCCTGCTCCAACTCCGGAGAAGAAGGAACGCCATCACAGCGCTTTTCCTTATCCATAATTCGGGAGATCTCGTTGGCCTCCTCGGTAACATCGGGCAGCTGATCGGCAGTCGGGAAAGTCTGCTCGTCAGGCTGGGGCGCGACCTTCTTATCGCTCGAGGAGTTCCATCGACGCTGGATGGGTAGTGACTGCACGGCGCGGAATCGGACGGGGATGGCGATGCTCCGGGGAGAAGACAGTGCGGGAGTCGTGGATTGGCGCAGGGCCGAGACGGCCTTATTGGCTGTGAAGAGGTTGAGTCGAGGCGCCATGGTTACGGTTGTGGGAATTGGCCCCTGTATATTATTGAGATTGGGGGTCGAGATTAACCGGCCTGTTTTGGGAAGTTTGCGGTCTCGAGCAAATTTCCGGTATACTTATGTAAGCGCCAAGGATTTCCAACGATGTGAGGTCATGGAAATGTACAATGAAAACAGGATTGAGGGGTTCTGGAGAACATCGGTCTGAATTATGATGAAAGGGGAAAAACTAAGCTTCGATGCATCTGTCCAGGTCTACAAAGTATATATGAAGAGGAGGCTGTTTCTGTTGATTCCAACTTAGTATTTAGCGTATATATATTTCTGCAAGTATATAATGTCGATATAGAAATGTATCAACTAACTCACTTCTACTATTCATTTGACTACTTTTTTTTTGGCTACTATTAACAAATTCTTATAGAAGTATATACCCACAGATGCAATTTTGACTACGAAGGTACTTATAAACAAACACGTTTGCCATATAATACAAGAAAACACAGCAGACGCTTGGGGATGAAGAATGAAACAAACAAAAGAGAAAGCCTCAGAGAACGACAACCTCCACAACCCGAAAATTAAAACCGAAAATAATTCCAAGCCATATTCTAGCTGGAGATATCATCAGGATAGACGTAGAACGCCAAGGCCAGAATGATATACATGCCGAGACACATACCACCCTCCAGGTAATTGGACTTTCCATCCTGAATCAGCAAGGTGACAACCAAACCGGAAATAAAGAACGCAACAGTCTCGAAAGTCTGGAAGTGCAGTGTCATCTCGATACCCATGATCCAGCCCAGAATAACCAAGAACGGTGTCACAAACAACGCAATCTGCAAGCTGCTACCAATAGCAACACCGATCGCGAGATCCATCTTATTCTTGTACGCAACGACAACGGCAGTCACATGTTCTGCGGCATTGCCCACAATCGGAATCAGAACCAATCCAATGAACGTCTTGCTCATGCCTGTCGTCTTTACTAGGGGATCGATAGCATCGACAAGGTAATCAGCGCAGATAGAGACGAGGATAGTCACGATGACAAGAACAACCGCGGCAGCCCAGGGGCTGAGAATACGCTCTTCTTCTTCCTCCTCCTCCTCCTCCTCAGCGCCAGCGATGTGCTCGGTATCGCTGCTATTGGTCTCCTCGAAGAGGTCGGAGTGGGACCGTAGCTGGAACCAGAGGTACATGACGTAGATACCCAGCAAGATGATCGAGGTACCGTGCGACAAGATGAGGATATTGTGCTGCGCATCGTCGGTCCGATTTGCGCTATTGGACTTGGCGTCTTTGTTATTCGAGATCGCGGCATAGAGGGTAGCAGGGATGATAAGCGAAGCGGACGCCACAGCCATGAGCGAAGACATGGTTGACGCCACAGTGGTGTTGAAAGACTGTTCGCGGTAGCGAAGTCCACCGACGAGGAAGCAGCATCCCAAGACGAGCAGGATGTTAGACAGAATGCTACCGAGCATGCTAGCCTGAACGACACGAATCTGGCCCTGTCTCAGGGCAATGATACTGACCTATCAGAAACAAAAGCAAAATTAGCATCCCAAATTGATAGGTATCATCCCTCCGTTACCAGTTCGGGCATTAATTTTGAGGCTGGGGGGGCTTGGCAAACTTACAATGAGTTCAACAGCATTTCCAAAAGTGGCATTCATGAGGCCGCCAAGTGCTTGGCCTAAAGTAGCAGCCAGCTCCTCGGTAGCAAAGCTGAGCAGCGAAGCGAGGGGAACAATAGCAAAGAAATTGAGAGTAAAGACAGCGGTTGAGTTCCATTCGAGAGCACCGGCAATAATGCCCAATGGCACGAAGATAAGTAGGACATTGACGTAGTCACGGACGATGGTCCTCCAGGTTAGATGGACGACGTGCATCGGCCAGTGCACCCAGGCACGGCTATCCTTGGGGTGGTGGTGGTGTCCTCCATGATCGGTGTGCTCATGAGGAGCGATGCCATCGAAGGAGCCATGACGTGCATCGAGGAGTCCTGTTCGCTCACCGTGTAGGGAGGCGTTGTTTGTAGAGCTCATTCTTCGAGGGCCGAATGTATGGCTTCGGAAGTTGGAACGAAAGTTAGGGAGAGCTGAATATGGAATTTTTTCCCGAGTTAGTTCTGGAGAATATCCGTTACCTGAACGGATTTGAATGTGTATAATTTTTAGGGGAGACTTTCACAGAAAGCCGGAAAGGAGCGGATGGGGGAATGAGAGAAGGGGAGAAGAGAAGAGTATATCAACCCACACATAATAACCAAAAGCTTCCAAGAGATTGAAATGAATAAGTAGTGGATTTTCAGCCACTTTTCTTTCTTAGCGATTGTAACATGAGATTTTCATGAAATCAAGGTTAGCACAGCCTGTTGATGTCGGGAATGAGAGAAGTGGAGGCCCAAATTGGTACGGTGTGGCCCAGTCAGTGGGGAGAGGGGAGCTATGACGACCCACTCTACACCTGTTTTACCAAATTTTTAATAATTTGATTGGCTGACAATCAATGCCAAGACCAGCACTGCCACAGTCAACGATGGAATGCACGGACAATAAGTTTCTGAGATCCACGGTTGACGACTTTAGACTTTATACAACATTACACGTATTGAATTATACATAACACAGTATGTATATGTATATGTATGGAAATAGATTGGACGTGGATATAGCACAATATAGCACAATATGGTATATCTTTGAACTCCAGTAAAAAGAACCCCCACATAATAGAAAAAATAATAGCAAAGAATACATCAGGGTAGTAAGTCACATCAAGAAAAAAAAAAAAAGTAAGATGAAAGGAGAGTCAAGACAAAACAAAAAAATGAGGTATAAAGGATCGAATCGAAAAAAAACAAAAACAAGGGTGATCATTACTCCTCTGGCAGCGCACCATTGGCTTTAAAATCCATCCGACTGCCCTTGCGACCAACACCCTTGAGCATACTGAAACGACGGAACACCGAATCCCGCATCCCACTATTACTATTATTCAAAACAGGGGACAAAGGCGCCGTCCCATTTGTAGTGGTCATAGTCATCGCATTACTCTCCCGCGTGACAGGCCGCGAATAATCGCGCGTGGACGGGAGTGTTGACCACCCACCACTCGAAGCGGGCGCAGCCCGTTCCGTGGCTGCATTATTGGTAGGGCCGTGGTGTTGGGAGCCAGCGCGGCTGCGGCCGTCATGGGAGCGGGGGACCGTGTCGCGAGCGGCATTGTGCGTGTTCAAGGAGGTCTGGGATTCATGGGTGACGGATGGCGAGGAGCCGTGCTTTGTCTTGTCGCCGCCGAAGAAGCTGCGGCGCTTCTCGCTTCGGCCGCCGCGGGACTGGTTGGTTGTGCGGCTGTGGATCGTGGCCGTGTCGTCGTCGATGTTTTCGTCATGTTCATCCACTATCTGGCCCTTGCTGTCGGATTGCTGGATGGTGAAGATGGAGTTGGTGGCGCCGTGGGATCGCTTGAAGGGGTTGATTATGCTGATCCGTTGACTGACAGATTGTCTGTCGGAGCGCTTGCGTGTGTGGGCATTGCCTCGCGCTGCACGGTCTTGCTCTGAACTGACGGCTCGTTGGGTAGGTGGTGGCATTCGGCGGTTGTCGTTCGAGGGGGATTGGCGGGCTGTTTGTGTGGGCGTAGGTGATGTGTACTCCAGTGGAGCTGTGATGAAAGAACTCAACTCGGGCTCGAAGACATCTTCGAAGCGCCGAAGCAGTTCGGCCTGGGTAGCTTGCTGGGCGGGACGCTGGTAAAGAGACAGTGCGTGTTTGATCGCCAAGGCGTGGTCGATGAGTGCAACGGAGAGTGCAGTCTCCATGGGGTCCACAGGCTGCTGTGTTTCTTGGAACTCTTCATCGTCTTCATTAATTTCCTCAAGCAGTTTGTTCCTTGCCGTCTCCGCATCGGATAGGAATACGCGATACGAGGCTACACAGTTCGAGGTGGACAATTTGAGCTCAAGGAGTGATTCCAAGGCGTCAGTCAGATTAGACAGGCTAGAATCCTCACCCGACGCAGCACGGCGCCCAATAAGCTGAAGCTCTTGTGTCTTGCGCCACGTGCGCTCAATGGCAGTCTGCAGAGGCGACAGAGCAACCCCCTGAACAGAAATAATCTCACTACGACGGAGGATATTCGGGAAAGCTTCCGAGACAGTGAAAATGAGCTTTTCAACGAACTGCTCACGGGGGTCGGAGCTGGTCGTGTGCCGTCGCGAGGTGGCAGAGAAGCGAGACGGATCCGAGATCAGCAGGTGCTCGCGGACAGAGGCCGGAACCTTGGAGCGCTGGTAGACAGGATGAGAAACATCGCGATATGCGCTGACGGCACTGATTTGAAGGAACTGGCCTTCGTAGTCAGGAATCTCGCCAGTAGACATGATCTGCGCGGTAGGGTGATCCCGTTGCATACGATCCACGAAAGAAGCCATGCGTTCTGTCGGAGACGTCTCAAAGATGAACTCCTTGTCACGCAGGCCGGGAGGGAATCCAAGACCCCTGTAGGCCACACGGAAGTAACGCGGGAATTGTTTTTCTCCCTTGGCAATAGAGTCGTAAATTCGAGCTATGGAGCTTTGGGCTCGAGAGAGCTTGGCAAAATCCATTGTCGTGTGCTCATAGTGCACTGCGAGTTCTTTGTAGCAAGTCAATGCTGGGCCCCAGGCCATGGCATTTTCGAAGTTCTGGATAACGGCGAAGTACAAAGCCTCTCTCCGTTCGAATGAATTTTGAGCTGGGAATGCAGGTGTGAGCAGCTCCGGCATAGGCTTGGTGAGATCCCATTCGTAGAGGTCGGCATGGAACTGAAGGGCAAGACCTGCTTCGGTGAAGTTGCCTGCTGCGGCCTGAGCGTCGGCAAGTTCATGAACGTAACGAATAAAGATATCCTCACGACCCATGTCCTTCATATATTCCATCAGTTTCAGAGCGTGCAGACTCTGGGTTGATGCACCACTCTGAGAAGCCACCAAAAGATCCAAGAGCTCATCGACTGTTCCG